ATTGCTAATCATATGCTAATGTAGGTAGCTAGCCAAATTTCCCGTTCCACCTTAAATAGTCCAGCAGTTCTGACGCCTGAAGCACCAGAATGTAACTGCTGCTCCATTTAAGGTGGAACTGGAGAATTCAACCAAGAAGCTGGAGAATATCTGACTTCAGCTTCATATCACTGAAGAATTAGGGGTGGGTGATAATAAATAATTGCCCCCTCTTTGAAGGCAGATGATGCCCTAAATGTAACTAAAGCCCAGCAGTGAGGAGCTGAACTTTACCCTCCTCTGCTGTCACTGCAGACTGGCAGGGTCGCCTACAGAGCAGCGCTGGTAGCTGTTAATGAAGTGATGCTCTTTTTATTTGAGGGTCCCATTTCAGAGGAAGATCTCAACCACTATGACTTGTTCTTGTAATATAATAGCTTCTTATAATCAGCATCGCTGTATACAGTGAGGACCACTATATAAACTTTAAGGTTGGCAGGAGACCATTTTTCCTTCTGCTTCCTTGGAATGTTAACAGATCCAACTGCAATGTAAGGTGAAGTGGGCAATGTTGCTGATGCACTTCTGGGAAAAGTCTTAAGTCATGCCAGTTAACCCCAACTAACATCTGATTTAGCACAAGATTGCTCTGTTCTAGACTAACTTCAAACTGATGCAGGCATTCCCTGAAAAGCATGGAGTCATGTGGGGGAACAATAGAGCATTTACGCCGTGGAGCTTTGATTCCTGAGAAATTATTCACCAGCTTGAACGCATCTGGTAAATATCCTCTTCTTAATGGGTTGTTGATGTGGGTTGTTGTAATGCGGATGTGATAATGGTTTTGAAGACTGAATGTTGTTAAGTTGCCACATCAAGTGCTATCATGTTTTCCTGCTAACTGAGAGAGCTGGAGTTGATGGCTTTTGAGGATTTTGAGGGTTTCAACACATTGATTTGCTGAATCATTGATTTCTTGGTGAGTAAAGTTTCAGAGTATTTGCCGAGAACAGTCCCCACTTTCACTGTGTTACTGACTGAGTTCAAGATAATTTTACCACAAAATGATGTGGCATGATCTGCTTGCATGACTTCTCAACATCTTTTATTAGCTACTTCAGGGTGCAGTCATTTCCCTGCTGTTTACCTTTTTATGCACTCTTCTCCTTTAATAATGTAGTTTCTCAACAATGTCATTGTATCTATTTTTGATCTGCCAAGAAAATCTAATAAAAATCCTAAAATATGTATTTTAAAGATCATCAAAAAACACATAGGATAATATTTCACTCTTTATTCTCCTTTTATTGTTGCTCAGATGAAACAAACTATAAGCATTCTAAATTCCATTCCATCGCTCAGAAACTATCACGGTGCATTCGACAATAAAGGCAGCGCTGTACTTATTTTGTGTAGTCATATCAAATACCACAGCACACAGAAAGCTCTAAATCCATGTGCCGATAGCCTGTCGTCTCTGATGTTAGGTAAAACAGGGCGAACATGCTCTCAGTCACCACGCCCAATGGCATCAGCTACAGGGATATAAAGCACCCCAGCACTGGACTCTTCAGCAGTGGAATGTGTTCTCAGGACTGATGGAGCACCATCCAGTTCCCGCCTACTAGTTAGGTGACTTCCATCACATGATGCAGCCACACTGGGAGGGTGAAGGCTAGTACATGCTTCCTCCAAGTCATGTGAGGCCAGCCACTGCAGTGGACACAAAGTTAATGGTTCAATGCGCTTGTAGGAGAATGCTAACAATGTTATGCTAACAGACATCCATGTTGACTTTGTGGAGGACAAGCTGTTTTCATTAGCACTGAAGTGAGTATAAGACAAACACAGATATCACACTTTGAGCACAGTGGAGGTGCTTTGGTTCAAACGGTGTCTGCAAACTTGACAACATATGATATATGTCCACTCAGGTGTACACTCTCAGAAATAAAGGTACTAAACCGTCACTGGGTCAGTTCCCCTCTGGTCACTGGTCTGGTTCCCTCAAGGCTCCATCTCAGTACCTTTAGTCAGGGAACATAACTGAACCATAATCCACTGAAATGATATGTTCTAAGCTGTACTGACTCCACACACCCCGTCTCGTCTGCAGGCTTTTATTTTACTGTTCTGTTTAAAACATTCGGTTATGAAAAGGTACAAATACGAACTTTTCACCTGGAAACACTTATTTAAGGTTCACAATCAGACCTTAAAACCACTGTTGGTGCTTTGAGGGAACATTTACACTGTTTGTACCTTGATGAACGAAAAATGCACAGAATCTTTATTTCTAATAGTGTACCATGCTTTACACAGCTGAATCTGCAGATGACCAAAAAGAATAATCTTTCAATCTGCAATTTCCTCTGTTTATGACTTGGTTTTTGATGTGGTATTTCTTTGTTTATCTGACCATCTGAGTCTGTTCCACTTTAGCAAATAAGCTTGTTCACCACTCACTGATTCATGTGGAATACACAGTCAGCTGTGTTCAGAAAGAGGCTTCATTTCCTTCTAATGTCTGCTGTGGGCAGAATGTCATAACACCTTTATTATGAAAAAAAAACAAGAGAACTTTAAGGTCCTGTAGAAGCTTCTTCTTCTTGTTGAGTGGCTTTGTGTCAGTTTAGTAGATGAGTTGGGTGCAAAGTAAATAGTACAAAAGAAATGTCTTTTGTTGAGTTCCAGCACCAGCTAAACCCAACAAGGAGAAACTAGCAGCCAGTAAACCACTTGGTTTGAAGACTCTGGAGATCTAAGGGAAGCCTAGCTGAATGAACTCTTGATATCTATAACTTAGCATACCATATTGACCAATATAAGGGTCCACCTATAGGTACTGCTTGTAATGGTGAGTGTATTTAGTGGTAAATGGCTCTAGATTTTGCACACATTTTTGCCCTGTTATTATCAGTGGCGTAACTAGGATTTTATGGACCCCAGCACAAAAAATGCCCCTATACAAAAAATTACTTTCAATTAATAAAAATAGACAATTACAATGCTGTGAAAAAGTATTTGCCCCCTTTTCCAACCTGAACGTTTCAGATCAACAAACTACTTTTAATGTTAGACAAAACAACCCAAGTAAACACAAAATGCTGTTTTTAAATGATGATTTCATTTATTGATGTAAAAATGCTGTTCAGCCCTACCTGGCCCTATCTAAAAAAAATCAATTGCCCTCTTAGCAACTAATTCAGCCAGTTTACCAAATTCAACTGACTATTGAGTTCAATTTCTCTGACACACCCAGTCATGATCACTGCCAGACCTACTGAATCTAACAATCACTTAAATAGAACCGTCTGGCAGGTTAGAAGGTCTCAGGAAGCAGCACATGATGCCACATTCTAAAGAGGTTCAAATATAGATGTGAAACAAAGTCATTGAAATCTACGAGTCTGGAGAGGGTTACAAAGCCATTGCTGAGGCTCTGGGACTCCAGAGAACCTCAGTGAGAACCATTATCCACAAAAGGAGAAAGACTGGAGCAGTGGAGAACCTTCCCAGGAGTGGCCGGCCTACCAAAATTTCACCAAGAGTACATTACCGGCTTATCCAGGAGGTCTTACAAGAACCCAGATGAACATCTAGAGGAACTGCAGGCCTCACTTGCTTCAGTTAGGGTCGATTTAAACAATTCCACAATAAGAAAGACGCTGGATAAAACTGGCACCCATGAGACAGCTGCAAGGCACAACCCACTGCTGACCAAAAAGAACACAAAGGCTCATCTCACATTTGCCAAAAACATCTAGATGACCACCAAGAATAATATTTTGTGGACTGATTCATCAAAGGTCAAACTTTTTGGAAGACATGGGTGCCGTTACATCTGACATAAAGCCAACACCGCGTTCCACCATAAGAACATCATACCAACAGTGAAACGTGGTGGTGGTGTGATGGTCTGGGGCTGCTTTTCTTCTGCAGGACCTTGGAGACTTGTCATAATTGATGGAATCATGAATTCAGCTCCCAATCAGACAATCCTGAAGGAGAATGTCTGCCTGTAAGTTTGTGTCCTAAAGCTCAAGCATACTTGGATTTTGCAGCAGGACAGTGTGCTGAAACACACAAGCAAATCCACCTCAGAATGGCTCAAAAAATTAAGGCTTTGAGTCAAAGTCCTAACGTAAATCTCATTAAGATGCTGTGGCAAGACCTTAAATCAGCAGTTCATGTTTGAAAACCCTCCAATGTAGCCGAATTAAAACAAGTCTACAAAGACGAGGGGGCCAGCGATGTAAAATACTCACCACAAGTTATCACAAATGTTTGATTTCAGTTGTTACTGCCAAGGATGGCACAACCAGTTGTGCGGTGTAGGGGAGCAATTACTTTTTCACTCAGTTGTGATCTAGGTTCTGAGTAAATCTTTATCTTCAATATATGAAGTCATCATAAAAAGCTGCATTTTGTGTTTACTCGTGTTTTCTTTATCTTGTATGAAAATTTGTTGGATGATCTGAAACATTTAAATATGGCAAATTAGTAAAACAGAAGAAATCGTGTGAGGGGCAAATACTTTTTCACAGCACTGTAAAGCTCAAGTAGCACTGACTCAGTAGTAATGAAACCGGTTAGCACTCGTATAATTAAACTGTCCTGAGGTGATCACCTTCACAGAGGACTCACGAAGCAGCCAGCCATTCTGGTGATAAAGGCTGACTGCAGTGATGGGAGGTACGATTCAGATTAGAGAACCGACTCTTTCAGAGTGTCCGTTTCACTGTGCAGTGGGCTGTTGTATCATGTGCTTTTATTAAGTCAATCGGAGGGGAATATCAGTAGCATAGTACGTGTTCCGTCCAGCATCAACACGGTGTGGATGCTGCCAAAACAGTTCGGTTCAGCTGGACTTGTGAATCGGTTAATCCGGTCAATCAAAAAGAATCGGTTCAAACGAGTGATTCTTTCAGGAGACAGTCATTGCAGCCGGAGTGAAATGTTGCGCGCGCTCAGTCCGCAGTCTCAGCAGCATCGCTGCACGCGCTGATGTCCACGTCTCTTTGTAGGTGTCCGTAATCTGCCGTGACGGCTATCAGACCTCATCTATTTTACACAGAAGAAGGAAAAACTCCTCCCGACTCCTCTTTGAACTTTATCTCCTCTCGCAGCTGCTCCAGGGACTCGTTGGATGAGCTACCGGCAGAACGGCGGAACAATTTGGTAAGAACTTTTTGCCAGAAACTCTGCACGGACACCAGATATCAGATTCCTCAGTGGCCCGGAATGTTTACATCACCTCTTATTGCCTCAGTCGGGCTGAGTTCGTGGTTGAGGTCGTGTTCTGTGGCCTGGAGAAGTTAGTGGAGGTTAATGTGTAGCTAAAAGTTGCTGAATGCTGCTAAAACCTCACCTGCAAACGGAGATTAAACGGCAGGCAGATCTGTGAGGAACAGCTCCTAAAAAGCGTGTCGTATTAAATTCCTGTTCTTTAAGGTGTCTAAACAAGTTCTTACAGATCGAGAACTGTGGAAAGTCAGTAGTGCTTTCCTTTCAGAAGAATTCTGCTTATTACCTTACATGAAAGATAACCTCTTAAAAAGCATGGTTCAAGTGTTCCAGTAAAAAACAGTAATTCTATATAGAACCATGAACACTCAAAGAATCAATTGCATGCTTAAATGGTTCTTTGCATGGTGAAACGGTTGTTCAGATTGGTGGAGAATGTGTTGTATGTAGCACCAAAAAGGGCTCTTCATTGTTACCAGCTTGACATCGTAACAACACTACAACTCTTTTTGTGCTGCTATATAGAATATACAGCACATTCTCCATCAATCTGAAGAACCATTTCACCATGCAAAGAACCATTTAAGCATGCAATTGATTCTTTGAGTGTTCATGGTTCTATATAGAACCATAGCCTTTATTAAAGAACACTTGAAGAGCGATCTTTTTACGCTGTATACAGTATGGAGAACACGGCAGCCCAGAGCAGGACGAGCAGATTCAAAAGCAGCTCCCTGTTAAACCTCTTCACTCATACTGACTGAGCACTTGAACATGCTGACAGAGCTGTGTAGTCTCGGTTGTCTAAGCGGCTGCAGGATAGACGTTTTGGGGAGAGGTTACTGTGAAGTGGCTTTATTATTATGGTTTTATTTATCTGTTCAGTGGTGAGATGTCACATGTAGACGTACAGTATGATAAGGACATTGTTCATTTAAAGCAAAGACATTACGGGCCAAACGGAATGGAAGCAAACCTTTATACACACACAGACACGCTTTCTCTCATTTGAACACAGTTGCTGATCTTTACATCATGTCAAAATTTGATGATAAATGGACCAAAAGAAATTAACCAAAATTACTTGGAATAAAATATCTTCACATTGACTTACATTAAAAGTAAAGTAGTTGCAATAATACACACACACACACACACACACAAAAACGACAACAATGGAGATACAAGGTTTTGTTCCGACAGCAGCGATATGTACGTATGGATGTTTGTGTGTATGTATATTAGGGCTGGGCAAAATGATAATATCTTTATCACTTTGTCAAAATAAGCTTTCTCTCAGCGTATGGTGGATATTGTCAGTACTCAAAAAACACCTCCTAACTGTGTGTTTCAATACAAAGAGAGCGTAATTAAATTGGAGAGCATATTTAATTGGATTCAGTGCAGCACAGTATGTGAAATGTTGAATGCAGATCATTGTATTTATAGTTTTTGATAGTATTTTTTATATGTGACAGTAGACGTCAGAACAAATGCATCATGTACATTGTGAATACTTACTCAAGCTTTTGTTAACAAAATACATTTTCCCAGAATACATTCATACTTCATTTGTGCACTATTGCTGCAGACATTCAGTCAAAGCTCTTTTTTATCAATACTTGCATTACTTCATGTTAACTCTTGAAACAAAAGAACTAAAATTGAATTTTTTTTTTATTTATTTATTTTCCAAAATTAGTGTTGCTTCCAAACTTTTGACCTGTGTAAATCCATCCATTTCCTCAAACTGAAATGCTTCTATGTATTTTCTTTTGTCTCTCTGAAGAAACCAGATGATGGACCAGTCAAACAGCACATTTAGCAGCAACTGCAGCTCAATTGATGACTTTCGCAATCAGGTCTACTCCACTGTCTACTCCATCATCACGGTCTTCGGTCTGGTGGGCAACGGTTTTGCACTGTATGTGCTCCTTCGGACCTACCGCCAGTCCTCAGCCTTCCACATCTACATGCTAAACCTGGCCGTGGCGGACCTGCTGTGCGTCAGCACTCTGCCACTGCGGGTGCTCTACTACGTCAAGAAGGGCCAGTGGGACCTGGGCGACTTCCTGTGCAGGGTGAGCTCCTATGCCCTCTATGTCAACCTCTACTGCAGCATCTTTTTCATGATGGCCATGAGCTTCACCCGCTTCATGGCCATCGTCTTCCCAGTGCAGAACCTCCGCTTGGCTACCGAGCGCCGGGCACGCATTGTCTGTGGTTGCATCTGGATTTTCATCTGCACCACCAGCTCGCCGTTCCTCTTCTCCGGCCAGCACTTCGACCCGAAAACCAACAAGACCAAATGCTTCGAGCCCCCGGCGGAGAGGGGCAGCATCCATAAACTGGTCATGCTGAACTACTTCTCCCTGGTCGTGGGCTTCGCCATCCCATTTCTGGTCATCCTCTTGTGCTATGCGGGCATCATGAGAGCTCTGCTGCGCAACGCCAACGGCCTGAAGAAACAGCGCAACACACGTAAAAAGGCCATCCGCATGATCATCGTAGTCATGCTGGCCTTCCTGATCAGCTTCATGCCTTATCACATTCAGCGCACCGTGCATCTGCAGTTCAAAAAGAAGAACGCCTCCTGCGAGGAGATCAACTATATGCAGAAGTCGGTGGTGGTCACACTTTGCCTGGCAGCCGCCAACTCCTGCTTCGACCCCATGCTCTACTTCTTCTCCGGGGAGAACTTCCGCCACCGCCTGTCCACCTTCCGTAAGGCATCCGTGAGCAGCGGTAACAACCAGCGCAGCCGGCACCTGCCACCAGCCATCCACCCCCTCGAGGAGAATGAGCTCAATAAAGACAACAACCCGAGTAAGCTTGGGTAGGATGGAAGAGGATGAGGCCTTCCTGCTAAAGAGTTGCCTTAGGGGATAAAGACAAGTGCCAGTTGCTTGTTATTGAAGATCAAGCCAAACCTGAAGGACAGGAAAGGAAGGATGGCCAATGGGTAGTAGGTGAGCCCAGTGTGCTTGCCAAGGGTACAAGTTATGAACAAAGAAATGGAAGTGTAGATTAATCGATGTTAAATATTGACATAAAGATCCAGAACAGATGAGGAAGACAAAAGTTTATTCAGATTCCAGACAACATACTACAACTACTTTAGTCCACATACTACAGTACAGAGCAGCTTGTGCCAGAATGTGTGTGATGTGTTTATACTGCTACTTTAAAAGTGTATGCAATGCATTTATTGTGCTCAGTGAAATATTAGAGGTCTACGCTTCCAAACCTTTGTAATTTGTGCCACTAATTTAAATATGAGAATTCGACATGCCAGATTGTATTATATACTCACGTTGTTCTTGCGCAGTAGTAATGCATGTATAGGCCTAATGTACTGTACATTACTGAGTGTAGGTTCATAGACCTGCTGTAGTTATTGTATATTACTGCATATGTATCACAAATTGATTCTGTAAATTCAGTGGATCATATTTATAAAGATAGTCCTATGTGTAAAAAAAGACATTCAATCTTAATTTTGTGTGAAAATAAAACGGTTCTGCTCAAATCCACAGGGTTACATCTTCATGTTTTGGGTCACCGTCATCATGTACGATCTTTAGTCCTTCATCCTGGTGTCCTCATGGTGTTATTGCGCCATCTTGTGACTGAGTTTTGTAACTGCTGGAAACTAAACTTTGAGTTCTGGGCCTAGTTTCTAAAAAAAACGTGACCCAAGCCTAAGGTGGCTATCATGTCATTTTTAAGGCATTTGCAAAGCTATTTAATATGACACAGGCCTAATCACACAGCTGCATTCACAGTGTTGAATTAAGTCTTGCAGGGTTTATTTCTGTCCACATGAACATTACATATGTATATTACTGTTACTCCAAAAATGGAACTATAAAAACAGTCATATTCAGTAGGAATGCATTATATTTCAACTTGACAGATAATTCAGGCTGATATTTGGAGATGTATTGTTGAAATGAAATGTGTGTAAAATCTGTCTATCAAACTCATTTGATAAATGTATGAAAACAGCCCAAAACTGTTTTTTGTTTAATATATTTTAGTGTCTTGAATACATTTTGGATTGAAACACTGTATTTGAAATGTATGTTATATATAAAAACTATATCCATGTATTTCTGTATGGGGTGTTCAGGCGACTCTGGTCTAATGTGCTAAAATATCTGCATTTTATTCATTTCACTGCATTCGTAACCCTATAGAAATAAGTGTTACATTTTTCTGTGGTGCTAATTTGGATGGATGTAGTTACAATTTCTACATTTTATAGATGTTTATGTACAGTTAAAGGCACATTTTATATTTTCTGTTTGACTCAGGTAAATATAAATTGTGCATTAAAATATGCAGTAAAATGTCATATATAAGTCTGAGCTCTGTAGAGGACGCGTTCACTTATTTTCACTTAGGAAATCAACAAAACGTCCTTTGATCTGGATTGTTTGAAATATTTGAATTTGCATAGCACTGTGTCAGCGTCGGTATCAGCAGACGTACATGAAAAATACTGGATATTAGCTTTAGCTCAGAATGCTATCAGTGCATCGGCCTCCTGGACCACCTTCAACACGTTTAGATCAACAGGAACCCAAGAAGAAAGGAATATGGCCCCAAACTAAACTTCAGTTTCTGTGCTGAGGGAACTGGATGTGAGAACTTAAAGAACCACAGTTTTAGAGAAAAAAAAAATCTTTTTTTATCTGACACTTTCTTTTAACTCAGACACAAGTTGTTTTTGGTAGCTGCAGCTGTCTGAGCCATTATTTCACTGAAGAGACAACACTTTTACTTCAGTGCAGGTTAAGGCTGAGCTACTTTACACTTCAAGGGTTCTTCAGTAAAAGCAGTTGGTCTTTTTAGAACCATGAGTTCTATATTAAACTATTTGCATGCTTAAATGGTTCTTCAGATTAATTGATGGAGAATGTGTTGTATATGGTTCTATATAGAACCTTTTTTAAATTCTACTAAATAGCACCAAAAAGGGTTCTTCTGTTGTTACAAGCTTGGCATTGTAACAATAGCACTCTTTAAAAAGATGGCTCTTTAAGGGTTCTTTAGTAAAAACAGTGGTTCTATTTAAAACCATGAGTTCTATATAGAACCATTCATGCTTGAATGGTTTTTTTTTGTATGGTGAAAAGGCTCTCCAGACTGATGGGGAATGTGTTGTATATGGTTCTGTAAAAAACTTGTTGGATATGGTTCTATATAGCACCAACAAGGGTTCTTCTACTGTTATAAGCTTGATATCCTAACAATAGAAGGCCTACTTTTGGAAAAGATGGTTCTTCAAAGGTTCTTTAGTAATGAGAATGATTCTATTTGGAACAATAAGTTCTATGCAAAAAACATTTCATGCTTAATTGTTCTTTGCATGGTGAAATGGTTCTTCAGACTGATGGAGAATGTGCGGTATATAGAACTTTGAAAATGGGTTCTTCTATTGTTACAGGCCTGACACTGTAACAGCAGAAGAACCCTTTTGGTGCTACATAGAACCATTTTCAAAAAGGTCCACACATTCTCCATCAATCTGAATCTTCTGTACAGGACTCATGGTTCTAAACAGAACCCTTGAAGAACCCTCTTTTTGAGCGCGTGCTCCCCTCACCTTCAGGGAGTTTTCCAGGTTTGGAGACAGAGCGGGCCTCGTGTTTTAATGGTGAGTCAGAGAATCTAATGCGGTTCTGTTTGAAGGCGGTGAAATAAGAACTCTTCCTTCTTCCCGTTTCTCCGCGTTGGGCTGATCACGGCTCAGCTCCAGTGTTACGGAATGTGTTCACTGCGCATGTCCCCGCAGAGCCCGCTGGCGATGCTGTAGCTGGGCATTCCCCTCAGTCGGAGCCCACTTCATGCAGCCGAGCGTGTGGGAGTACAGAGGCTCTCGGAGGTGGATTAAAAAAAGGAAAAACGCACACCGGCCTCCTCCTCACCGCTTCCTGTCCACCTGGTCACATGCGAGCTCGGCCGCGTCTCTCCTCTCCGCCTCGGCTTCACCGCGGTAGGCAGTTTTCCTACATTTCCTACATTCTGCTAACGCTGCTTCTCCTCCGCGCGGCTCTCCAGCTACGCGCTCGAGGATCCGCCTGGCTTCCACACTCCCTCCTCCTCCTCAGGACTGACCGAGTTAGCCTACGCCCTGCTCGCCGTGAACCGGCCTTCTCCCTCAGGATTTCCTCAGCTTTACACCGCGGGATTATTCAGAAACCCGTGTTGTTAGTCGGCGCTTCGAGCTGCTTCGTGGGGCGGTTCGGTTTTTAAGGTTAACTTGAAAACAAACATAAAGGGCGCCGCGAGTTTTGGAGGCTACATGGTTCGCGGTGTCTTAATGCGCAGACGGCGCCGTCGCTTCAGACTGCAGCCCTCAGAACCAAAACAGAGCAGGAGACCGTGGCTCCGCTGTGTTATAGGAGGACAGACGGGCTCCGTGTTATTTTCTCTGGTGGAAAACATTAATTGGCATCGCCACGTAACCGTGATAAGAGCCTTGGATGCCCTCCGACTGACAGACACGTCTTAAGGGGGAAAACAAACTTGGGAGGGTGTCGAATTTACTTCACCTGTGAGCCACATGGTCAGAATTTACTGTAGTTCACTTTAGATGTCGGCTTTTTTGGCTGTGATGATACAGTAACAGTGTTCTGGGGTGAGAAAATGAGCTAAAACCTTTATAAGCGGTCATAAATCATTCATCAGATTGAGAGACGATACAGGTCACTCTGTCTTACAGCGTGATCCCTGACTGAGGGTAGGACAGTACTAGTGTGGTGGCTCTGTGGGCTCTGAGGGTGTTTGCAGGTCTAATATGAGGAGTGTGTGCAGTGAGAGAGTGTGTGTCTGCGCACGTTGCAGCTCAACACTCTAGAAATACACACACACACACACACACACACAGAATGAGGTGCTCTGCAAAGGGCCACAGATCCTGCTGCAGACTGAGGCTGGGCTTTAGAGCCTTTGCTATTCTGTGTTAGCCTGGTTAGATAACCCTGTAGTTCTGGGCCTGATGAAGGTTTTATCACAGAGGAGAGAGGGAGGAGAGGGAGTGGTCACAGGAAAATGAGATTCACTATTTCAGCATCTTTTGTCCTGGTAGGGTTCAGTTTCCCCTGTGCTCCACACCCTCTGTCACCCTTTCAAAGGCTGGCCTGGTGCAGGACGCCCCAAGGGCATTTTTACGCTCCACACGCATTCTTCCTCTGCCGCCCTGGTTCTTTCCTGTGGCTTTTCTGTGTCACGGCTGCGCCGTTATTACTGACGCTCCGACACAATACACTGAAACGGTACCAGCAGTGATACTGACATCACTGAATGGATCAGATACTCAGTAGACACGGGTATAAAATTCTAACGTACCAGTTTTATAAACCTTATGACAGTTTTAAAAATTGTAAGTCCTAAAAAGAATTTTGATGTATGACTATTTTGACAATAGTAGTCTGTAGTGTAGTAGTGTAATAGTGTAAACTTCATTACTGTGAAACACAAATTTCAGGGTATCCATATTGGATCAGTATTCGGTATCAGCCGATACAGAAATCGGAATCATCCAATACCAACAACGCAGCTCAGATATAACTGATATTGAGAAAGAAACATTGGAACAGTGTTCCCCTTACATCAAGAAAGGTAAGCTGGGATAGCAGGTACTGCAGTCACTTCCTGTTGGTGGAGTGTCCCAGCCTTTGAGCAGTTTTGGAAGACGGGGCCTGGCAGGGTCCCAGCTCAGCGAGCGGGGCTGGGGGGCGCCCCACGCTGTAGCAGCTGTTGAATGGAGGAGAGTGGAAGGAGCCAGCAGCCGCGGATGTCAAAGAGTCATTGTGTGGCACAGGGGCCCTTGGCTAAGGGGTGCCTGGCACTGCCGGGGGCTCTTCACCCACACTCCCACAGCAGACTCTCGCCACTTATATTCCCCTATGACAGAGAGAGAGAGAGAGACAGAAAGAGAGGGAGAGAGAGGGAAGAGAGGGGGCAAGCAGTGACTCTTAATGATCCTGCGTAACCTAAAAATTAGAAGGAAAACATTTTTAACTTTGATGCACTTTAATGTAACAAGATTTTATTCCAAGGAATTCTTTTAACGATTCTGTTGCGTTTTAATGAAATCCTCACACATTGTCAAGGACAGCTGGCATTTTCACATTATGTAAAAAAAGATGAACATATTCCACCTTGTAAGTTCTCAGTTCTCTAATTAATTTGGTGTAAGCTGTAAATCATTATATATAATGTAGTAATAATACCTTATAATAATGTATAAATAATAACACTGTAGAAGTAGACAGTATTCAGAAATACACCTTCTGTGTGCATTTCTAGCAGTAGCTGGTTGAAAGAATATCCTTTAACCAAGTCTAAAATTTGTAATATTTTTTTACAGTTAGGTGGGGGAAATGTGACAATATGTCATTATTATCTTGATCAGTGTTAGTACTTTTACAACATTTGACACCTGCATGTATTGAAAAAATATGTTGTTGTGTTATAGAGAGCCTATATCAATTATATAGTAACAAGTCACTAATTACATTATTAGTTGGCAGCTCATTATATCGCTATCTCAGTTTATTCGTTTATTTCTATCAGTTATTTGAGTTTTTCTCACTTGTTTAGTGTTTAGTAATTAAGTTTTTGGAAATCTCTAATTAACCGTGAAAGCATGGTTAAAAAATCGTAGTACTCGATGGGCCTCCTTCTCCAGTATTTTCCTAAGTCTGTTCTTAAGTGTGTTGTTGAGAAAGATCCTGGGAAAAAGTGTCTGTCCGATTCATGACGTGTTCTTAAAGCGCAGAACTGTTCTCACCTTTGTGCTCTTGAGTGTGTGTAGATTCTGTTCTTACAAACCCCACATAAGAGAACACTGGTGAGTCAGAGTCTTCATCAAAACTGGGTTCATCAAAAGTGGGTTTAAGAAGAAATTTCTTCTTAAGAATGGTTGGTGAACGAGACCCAACCTTGTTTATATTAGGCACTTTTGCTGGTGTATTTTGCCAGTTTGTTCACAAGCCTTAGAAGCCTTGGCTGTGCTGAACACCCTGATTTACACTATAGAAACATCCACCACATGATAGGCTTGAGATATTGTGTGCAGTGCACCATCATCTAGTCACCCTGCCGGTCCATTGGCGATTGATGATCCTATCTGGGGTGGTGGTCAGGTAATTTTCCAAAAAACAAACAACAGAAAAAAAAACAAAAAGAGCCACTTTCCTGCACCACCAGCTCACCATCTGAGCACGTCTACAGTGCACAAGCAAAAACGCAGCTATAAACACGAACTACGGGCTGATTACCTGTCATGTTTGCTTAAAGCAGAGAAAATAAACATTCTTTCTGGTCACAAACCTAATTCTTTACCGGAAGCTCACTTCTTTAGTTTAATTATAAAATAGCTAAAGCTTAGCTGTGTGAAGTTGTCTGAAGGCTGCTGTTACTGTAGCTGTGTGTTTCTTGTTTTTTACTGTGTGTGAAAGGCTGCAGCACAACTTTATTAGTTTAGCACGAAAATGTGCTGCAAAACAGAGCCAGACAGCGTATCAGGGCTGATTCACTTTACAAGACTTCCTTGTAAAGCTGCTTTGTGACAACACCTGTTGTAAAAAGCGCTATATAAATAAACTTTGCTTGCTTGCTTGTTTAAAGAAAATGGCGAGACAGATGTAGTTACTCTTATGCATCTTCGAGGCTGACAATACTATCATAAAACAGCTCAAGTCTACCGCTTGACCGCTCGGTGGCAGTAATCTGTGTGACGAATGGTGAAACACAAGAGAACACTAAAATATGGTATATGGTGTATAATATTAAAATGTCTTGGCATGTCTTATTAGTACATGTTAACCAATACGTAGCCCTTAACATTAAATATAACATTAAATGTTATGTATTTGTTAATGCATCGCTCAGGTAATGTGAGAAATTTGGACTGAATGGAAATTCAAGCTATATTTAAACTATAGGCGCATTCATATGCTTTTATTTTGGTTGGTAACCATCAGGGTTCTTAACAAGTGACTGAACGGTGGTGAGATTGATGATGTAAGCTTTCATGGGTTAAGCCTCAAGGTAGAGACTATATGTGATGTGACATCCTGTAGGCCTATACATTGCGTGGCATGCTGTACGTTGCTGATGCCCACAGGGGAAGTGTGTGGTCTGAACAGCTATAGTTTCGGCTGTTCATTCTACGCAAGCGCAGGTTGTTTGGTGCCGTGTTCTGGCATTGATCTAGGCTTTGTGTCATGTCGCATGTGTTCCTCGTGTTTCCTGTTTACAGCCTGGCCTGCGTTTATGCAGAGGAGTGTGGGGTTATTGACTCCAGATGGGAAATGTAGCATGAAGTACGGACCAACAGAGAGAGAGTGAGAGGAGAGAGAGAACATCACACCACAGCACTGCAATCCATCAGCTCATTTTGTGCCAGAGGACCATAATAAGTCCTTTGACTTTCCCAGAAGACAGACTGGGACTGTGTTGAGGTTAAATATGCTCAGATATGAAAGTTATCTTTGCTTTTTTGAGTTTCTCAGTCTCTGATTAATTGTCAGATTGGGGTCAGTGACATTTTTCAAAATGTGATATTGTTTTGGCCGACTCTTTTGGGGGTAAATTTATGATTTATTATAATTTTTTTAAAGCTTCAAATATTTGAAAGTCAATAATCCTCAGTAATATTTCAAGTTGAAGTGGTATTGACAGTACCATGCACGGTATTAGCGTATTGTTGAGAGGATAGCAGGTGTTGTGAGATGTGAGGGGTATCATGATACTGATTCTCATGCAGGTGATATTTTTAGTTGTGTTACTTTAGATGTAGCTGTAATGCAATATGCATCTGGTTCCACCTTGCCTGGTAATTTTACCTCAGTGAAAGGTTTTGTTCTTTCAGCGTGTCTCAGGTGTTGCAGTAGGTTGAGGGTTCTGCCACATATCTTACTGAGTTTCATTACTGTCCCACAGGTGTTGCTGTCAATGAAAGCTCTCTTCAACTATGATGACCGATCAGCACCTCCCACTTCTGGAGGCCACGCCCATGCTGGCTGAGGTGCCCCTCCTCCCTCACGTGATCAATGGAGACGGCATGCAGCAGGTGAGTGGCTCATATTGGGGTGAAGTCTAAATAACAGACTATTTTGTTTTTAACCTCTTCAGGATAGAGAAATAATAAATTTCCTCACTAGCGCTGGATCAGTCTTGAGGAATTTCAGTGTTTATAATGAAAAATTTCTAATGAAAAACGTCAAGCTTCAATGTCCATTTTCAGTCTTATAGCTGAATGAGAAACAGACAAGGAACCGGCACAAAGAATCAGACCACTGTGAAATGAAACCACATGTAAAAACATACAAAGGGAAAAGTCTGCTGCTTGTGGATGAGTCGAGTTTGATAAACATTTAGAGATAATGGTGAGATTGGCGTGTTGCTTTTAGATACTACTTTATAACCACTCATACAGACTGCTTTTATTCTCGTAATGATACTGGTGCTGATGGTTCTAACAGTAGTCACTTGTTTTTATAGATCTGTTTCTCATTTGTTGTTCAGCAGTAGTCATTGGTCATCAGTGGTGAATCTAAATACTTGACAGGCTGATTTCTGTTGTCTGCAGTCATCATTGTATATTAATTGTCAAATCTCGATTTTTTATTTATGTCCCTCTTTTTGTGTTGTTGGTTTGCTGTTGACCAGATAGGTTCCGCTTTTGAGTCTTAGTTCCTGTCAAGGTTCTTGCTCTTCGGGAGTCACCCTTGGCTTGTTCATTTGGGGCTTAGATCTGAATTTTCTGTGACGCTGCTTTGCGACAACAGCCTTTGTAAAAAGCGCTTCATGAATAAATGTAATCTTGATTTGATATTGATTACAGAACTAATACAGATTTAGATCGTTTGTATTATACCATCTTCAAGCTGATTTGAAGTGAACTGTCTGTGTTCCTGTGTTGGCTCTTGTCGCTGCTGGAATCTAGCAAACAAAGGTTGTAACAGGCTTCTAACAGGGACTGAGTCATTTTAACCCAGCGCAGATTAACGATTGTGGTCTAGCTACTTAACAGTTCTGATGCATTAGTGCACTCAGCTAAGAACAAATGATAAGGGTGGAGATTTTAATTGCAAATTAGTCACTTCACTTTCACAGTCTAGAAAATGATAAAAGATGAACCATCAAATTTTGCATTTGCAGCTTTTAATGCACAAATCAAGCTTTAAATGGCACTTAGAGATGGTGAGGTCTGAAATAAAAAAGGGGCTGCCATCAAGAATATTAGTCTAATATTTAATCTAATATTTTGTTGTCAAAATGTAGTTTATGTAAAGTGCATGTATTGGTTTCTTAATTTACATAAATGCATTCTTGAAAGAGTTAATTATCCCTTAAAAGTCACAGTCATAACCAGCAGTAATAAATGTATGATGTTATTTTATATTAATTATTTCTCTCATAAAAAATGGAGAAATCAAGTTGTGAGTTGCAGATTCTAAACTTTTAATCAGTACCTCATTTGTGTTTGTTAGCGGAAGAGGAGATATATTCTTGTGGTTTGAATTTGAGAAAAAATGATATTATGATTCTGTGTACAGTCCAGTTTTGAGAAAGTAAAACCATCCCGTACATTTTGCCTCGTTTTTGTTGTTTCATTTCGTTGAAACAAATGGAAAAAAGTCAGAAGTGCAGATTCAACCCTGTTGATGATATAGAATGTAAACTGACTGTGAGTGTAATTCATTATGTAACTGACTCTGCACCTGTATGTATACTTATATAATTGCATTTAAACAGTAAAGCTTCAGTAAAACTCCTAGACTTCTGAGGCTGAAATGGTGGATTTGTGTTTTGTAACTGTGTGGAATGTATTAAATGATGCACCAACCTGTAGCTTGATAAATCACTGTCAGCTGACGGCTGTGTGATGAGAGAGTTTGCTGATCTGTGTGAGATTCAGTTGTATTCTAAACCCGGGTGACTTTTATCAGAGCAGTGGACTCTCTCTTCCCAGTGGACATTGGGCTGCTTAACAGCCTCTTTCCCTGTGGTTAATTTTTTCAGTCTGACTTTTTCAGGCTTGTTTGAACATATTAATCATTAACAGTCTGCTAATAATTGGAACTAAAACAGATAACAGACTTTTTAAATCTGTAAAATCCCATATGGTAAAGTTTAGAGATGTGTCTGTAGGCACACACTGGGGGGTGAGTTGTGTTTTTGGGTTTTAGCTGAGGGTTAGTTGTGAGGGTTCGGGTCTCTTGAGAGGGACAAACACACGGGCAGAAATCTCCGAAGCGCAGCTCAGGGTTTTGGGGTTAGCCAGGCCTGGAGGAGAAGAGTGAAGCGTCTGCATTCCTGACAGCCGCGCTCTGCCAGCAACATTTCCAGTAAGAGGAGGCGAAATGGGGGCGGGTGTGGAGGGGGAAGGGGGCTGGAAGTGTACACATCCGGAACTCAGTCCTGATAGTCTCCGCTGATGGGAGGGTGTTTGAGAATGAGTGTGTGTGTGTGTGTGAGTGTGTGTGTGTGTGTGTGTGTCTGTGCTGTTCCCAGCCTGTGTGTTTTTCACATATTCATGCTTATTAATATGTGAAAGTGAAACTTTAATACCTGAAAGTGGAGGTTATTTGCAGTTTGTTTGTTAGTTTATTTGTGTAATTGTGCAGTAGAACTTTAGGAATGTTTACAGAAAGATATTTACACCTATGAAAGCATTTTTTATAGACAAATTTGCTGAAAAGAAGTAGAGCTGTCAAATGATTGAAACAATTAATCACGACAGTTAATTGTGATCACATTCTTTTTTGCACAAATTTAATCCTAAAGAAAGACTTTTTTCCTTCTAAAAAAGCAGTGCATGTTGTAGCTGTTAGTGGACAAAATAAGCTTCATCTGAACTTGTTTATCACTTTCATTAATTTAGTAACATTGTCATCATCGATATCCAGTGAGAGCAACAGTGTCTGCACGTTCCAACTTAACTGCAATTCTAGTTCTTCCTCTTTTGTACCTGTACGTTGTGTGGGAAGTAGGCGATTTCCAGTTTGTTGTTAATTTGTCAGTTTGCTGCTTGTTAATGTTATTATTTCTTGCACACACACTGTCCAGCGAGGTCTGAAGGCTTCCTCTAGTGCTACTAATATTACTGGTAATGCGAACTTTAGCACTGTGTTTTGCTTAGTTAAGATTTTACGCCCTGCTATTATTAAACACATTATGTTAATTATTAATTATGGAACTTCTTATCATTTGAAACCAACAAATTGGCTTCAGAGTGGAACTACAAAAAGGGTCAAAAAACAGGAAAATGTGTAAATGGCGGCGAAACGCCATTAACGCCTTATTAACACATTAATTTTGACACCACTGAAAAGGAACTTCAGTCAAAAATGAAAAACCTTTAATATTTGGTTAGAAATCAGATTGAGTCTAAAAAATACCACAGCAAAATGTTGGTTTTATGCTGCAAAGTCAGTCCTTAGTTGAAACAAAAAATAAAAAAAAGTTCAGTTCTTTAGTACGTCAGAACGTTTGGAAGATTTACACACACATGCACATGCTTTCCCAGCGGGTTCTTTCCATTTGGAAAACTGTGCTCTTACACAGCAATGAGGAAGAAAAGAAGGTTGTCTGCTTAATTCTTTTATTCATTCATTCATGTCTCCCCCTTGAAGAAGAAAGCCACATTCCAAGCCTTTTTCCCATCGATTGGCTGCTAGATCAAAGCCTGGTGGGCACTCAGAGGCCACACAAAGAGCAGGAATGAGAGCTCAAGTTAGGACTTTGCTTTTGAGCAACTTTATCTCCTTGAGAGTGAACGTCAAATTACCCTTGAAGAGTCCAGGTCACTGCGTCCCACCGTGGAGTCCATCGCTTTTGACGGGGAGGGGGAGATTACTATCACCCCTCTGTCACCTTTTCAGCCATCAGACTCTGTACTTTTCCACTAAGTACCCCAACCCCCAACTAACCCACTGCCCAGCACATTCCCTCCCACTGCAGGGCTTTACCTCAGGAAAATAAGAGAGGGGAACAAAGACACCTCATGATAACGTCGTATCGTAGAGCTTCTAATGATTCCTGGTGTATAATATTAGTGTTTCTCATTCCCGTCTGGGAGGACCAAACCCTGTTCTTCTGTATATGAGGGTGACCATGTTATCCACTGCACTACTCTACTGATCTTATGTTCTTATCAGAGAGATTATCTTTACCATCTAGTTTATTAAAAAAAGAAAAACATTTTGGTTTCTATGGCCATGATTTAATGAGATGAATTCTGACAGGAGGTACGACAATTACAGAGATTTTTGAAATGAATTACATTTTAGTTTTTTAGTTTTTAACTAAAACTATCCAGGTTGCCATTTGTAACTAAAAGTTTTGCACATGTATAGAATGAATACTCCAAAAAGCACGAAACTTGTGGCATTCAAAAGTATTTTGTTCATCATTGTGGATGCGCTTAGCTTCCTCAGGCTGAGTGTCGCTCAGCAGCCATTCAGGTGATAAAGTTCTGTTTATCTGTTACTTACTGTCTTACATAAGTCTTCAGTGTAATATGGCTATGACAAGGAGATTCATCAGCATTTTCATCCTGAAGAAACAATGATGAAGAATTCCTGTTTAGTTGTTGTAGTCAGTTGGTTTCGTACCCCTGTTCTTTATTTCTAGGAATTTCTGTTTAATTCTGTGTTTTCAATGTTACACTCAGAATGCCGGTTCAGTCCTGAGCTGATAGCTCTGTGTTGATCTCTGTTCCTTGATTTTGCTTTTATATTGAAGAGGTGGGACGCACTTTTAAAATGAACTCCACTTGTAATTGTCATTTTTACCTGGTTTTATGATCAGATATTTATTTAAAATATTGATCAATAAGCTACAAGTGTTTTAGAATTTTGTTGTGATCTAAAGGCTTAAATAGCACAGTATTGATACTTTCTATCAATATGTATCAATACTAAACACAAAATATTGTGGCAGTACACTGTAATACTGAGTATTAGGGTATAAGCTTTCATTCCTTGTTAGGTACGTTTGCTAGCCTCATAGTTCCAGTGCAAAACTGAAGTAGTAAACTTTGTGCACCAAACTTGTTTTAGTTTATTGACTACATTTTAGATGAGAGGGAAAATCTGTTATTTTTTTTGGCAAAACTGCTGTTTGAAGAAATGTGAGGTTATTCGTTCTCCTTCTGCCTCATTGCCTTTGGTAAATGACTCAGGCAGCAGGCAGTGACCAAATTTCCTATCTCTCACATTTCACCAGAACCTGTGACTGCTTCCGGCTCTGACTAGTCGAGGTGTTGTCCAGGGCCGGTCAGTTTTATGAGTCAGTGTTGGGACGTTTGGGAAAGATTTATTTGGAATCACACAGGCGGGTGATGCTGTGGTTGGTAAACCTTTGGTATGCTTTGTGGGGAACCTTCTTCATGTCATAAGCTGATGCTGTTCCAAAGCCGCCGTGGGTCAGTGCCACTGCGATGTGCTCCGTGAGTTGTGTGCACATGCGATCCACCGATGACCAATCAACTCCGTTTTTTTGCTCACTCCCATTGACGTTGGAGAAGTCAAAATATTTACCCTGTGCCCTCGAAACTGCTTCCTCAGCCTAAACACATCGTGGGATTGTTTTCTTTTGTTCTCTGTGGACGAGGCGGCTGAGTTTGGGTTTGAGTTTTTGCTCTTTGATTGGTCAGAGCTTTAATGTCCTCCTACTAGGTGGACTCTTCCCAGCTGCTGTGCATGTGTCCTATTGTAATACTGAAACAGTGGATTCCTGCTTGGATGATTGTTGTCAGTCTCTAATGCTGACCATACACTAGAAGACTTTGAAAAGACTTGTGAAAGACTAAAGTCTGACCCCGTCTCACATCTAAAGACAGTGTCGCGTTTTTAGTCACAGAATATGATTTTGCAAAGACTGAGAATCTTGCAGTGTCACTATTTACAAGACTGCAACTAGATTTTTGAGATTATTCCCCATCATGCACCTGGTGGAAATTCACAAGCAGATAAACCCTTTTCCTGGTACAGATGGGAAGATACATTGGCTGAGCATGTAAAGATCTGGGGCTCAGAGCAGGTCACTGTAGGACTGTATGTTCTGGTCAGATCATCACCCAGAATCTTTAATTAACCTGTAAAATGTGCAGCTACTTTTTAAATTTGATATGAAGATTTACACGTTAAAACAACATGCAGTGATGCAACATCGATGATTAGGTGTTATGAACTAAACCATAAAAAACAAACAAACAAAATAAGAAACGACTGTAACAGAAAACAGAAAAAAAAACAGAAGAAAAACATTGATGATTCTTCAATAATGGCCTTCTTAAAGTCCTCTGCACATTTCCTTACGTGTTACAGGCTCAGTGGACCTGAAATATTGAAACAGTCAGTTTACATTTGAAGTTAATATGATTATTGTGTTGAATTTCAGGCAGTCACACCTGCACACACTCTCTCTCTCTCTCTCTCTCTCTCTCTCTCTCTCTCTCTCTCTCTCTCTCTCTATCACGCCGCGTGCCTGCGCTCGCCCGCAAGCACTCACGCGCGCCCCTGGTACCTCACTATTTGCATGAACCAAGACTTAAAACTTACGAAAATATTAAACTCGGTTGATTTTGTCGCAGCGTCAAGACGAGAAAAAGACTGACTTAAGACCTCCATCTTGACCACCTTATACCAAACGATCGAGGTGACGCGAGCGCGACGCGACTCTAACAAGACTCTCGGGATTTTATTCCGACATGGATATCTGTCTGCGACAGTGAAATCGCTTGAAAAGTCGTTTGGTGTCAGGCCGGCATTAGAGATGCAAAACCTGATTTTGGTATCTATGTATACATATGATGTGGTATAGATACTGTCAGATTTTTAAGTCTTTAAAAATAGTTGTATTACTCTGATGAATTGATGTTGGTGGCCAGTTTTTTTTCAACAAGGGATGTGCACAGGTACTCGAGTAATCGGTTAACCACTTGAGGTGGCAGCATTTAAATACTGAAATCAATACTCTGGTATTTGTTACGCTTCATCACATGAATATAGAAAAAAATACATAGGTTAATTGAACAGCTGTGCTTTAACAGGACCGAAAAGTGTGAGTGGTTTGCACGTTAATTTTGTTTTGCACTCTTTGCTACTACAAAATAAGAGTGTGTTAATGTCGGCACGTTGCCAATGAAGCATTCTTGAGGATGTGCCTGAGAAGGTAAAGATAGCTTGGCTATTGAGTCTAATGCAGCTATCTACTAACTACTCTAGTTAATGTTAGTATGTAAGTCCAGAAACAGTGAAAATATATTTCTCTGGAAGGGTAAAATGGTGTCGCATCATCGGCTGAGAAGAAAAGACCTTGTGTAGATGTCGAGTCCCCATCTGCATCCGAGAATACACTCGTTAGCATTTGCTCATTAGCTGCTCTGAAGAGGCGACTTCCATTACTGTACTTTCATGGTTTCACAGTTACTGTAATAAACTGGTGGCTGTCGTTTACAAGCTCTATATAATTACAGTTCACCTTTTTATAGACATGATAACGTTTCTTCATATTGCCCAGCAAAAAACATCATTTTTAAGAAATATCAGTCGAGACTAATGTGGCACCGATACTATAGTGTGTCTCTACTCTTTCTCCTCCCTCTTCTTCTTTTCCCTCCTCCCTTCCTCTGTCCTCATTTCCTAGCTCCACCTCTGGCTCCGGCTCCCAGGGATGGCAATGGCTTTGGGGGCTGGTCGGTACATACCACGCATACCTCTGCCCCTCTTCCACAGTCTGTATCCTGCATTCCTCACATACTGCCCCCCCTCTTTCTTTCATTCCACTCACTTTATCTCTCGCTCTCACCCTCTTTCTCCGTCCCGCGCTGCACTTTTTCTCTCATGCACTATAGTGGCAATAGGCAGTTAATATCTGTGCATGTTAATCTGACATATGATCCATTTTTTTGTGCGTTAAAAAGCGATTATCAGACGGTTTCATTTTTAAGCATACAGTTTGTGTTTTTAATCATGTGAAAATAAAACGTATTTTACCACACTGATGCAGGACTGTGATTGGCTCTCGTTTAAAACAGTGTCTCTGTGTATGTATGTGTGCGTGTGGGGGAACGAGCGCATCAGGGCTGGTGTACATTTCCCATGAAGGCGTAGTGTTTGTCAAACGTAGCAGGAGCCCTGTGCACACACTCTGTGGGCCGGGGGGAACAAACACTCCCTCTTTGAGAGTGTGGCTGGGTGTTTGCACAGCGCTGGATCTCACCCCGGCTGGGCCGTTTCCCTGCCGCAGGCTGCTGAGAGAGGAGCATTCGGCACAGACTGTGACTTGCAGGACTTGGATATACATATTAGAGTTGTGATTTTATGTTTTGTCTTAATGATCCATGTGTGTCTGTTTGTAACTTCAACTCTACTATCATTTCATAAAACTGAATTTAATGCCTGAACACACTGGGTTACATCATAACTGACTCCAATTCAACCCTCTTATCTAATATTCTATACCTTAAAAATACCCTAAAACATTTGGTTATAAAAATACTATTCTAATATGATTCTAATGTGCTAGTATTGTGCAATTTACAGGTTTCAAATAATTAGAAAGAAGCTGTAAAAAAATTAAACCATAGATTTGTCCAGAGTGAGTTTAGAGCTGTAATTGATTCTAAAATGACTGAGAAGCAGTTTAAGTTAAAAAGAATGAAGTTATAAATAAATTGTTACAAATTTGCAGTACTCATATTTCAAGTGTTAAATCTTAAGAAATAGAATTTGACTGAAAGCAGATCCTTGTAGTACGTTTGGCTGCTTGTCATTTTTTTTATCTATATAGCATTTATATCATTTGTATTATTTCATTTATTATTTATTGTAACTTCTTGTTACAATAAATCACAAAATATATATTTTATTCAAGATATTGCTCCTCCAAAAAACACAGCTAATGAAAACCCAATACGGCTCTCTTGAATTTTTTTGAGATATGTCTGGTGTGTCGCATGCCGTCTCTGCTTGATTTGAAACCCAAAGTATTTGTTTTGCAGCACTGTTTCTGTCTGTAAATAAAGAAAAACAAGGATGTGTGTTTCAGGATCTCTGGTGCTGTAACTGTGCCTGTGCAGTCAGGTTGCTGACTTGATTTGCTCTGTCCGTTTGTGGTTTTTCCAGATGATCTTGGTGCAGGTGAACCCAGGAGAAACGTTCACTATCCGCACAGAAGACGGACACTTTCAGTGCATTACAGGTAAAAACTCACAGAGACAAACGTGCACTCGCGTCTTCAAGACCTTCCAGTGAACTTAATGGGCTCCTCCAAACATTGTGCTTATACAGGTCCAGCGCAAGTGCCCATGGTCTCCCCCAATGGCACCATGCCTCCCATTTTTGTTCCTCCAGGTTACATTTCTCAGGTAGTGCACATCCATCCCTTCTCATCATATACCAGATTATAATAAATGTTCATGCTGTTAGCTGTAAAATTCATAAACATAATTGTTCATTTGTGTCATGTTAGATTATTCTTGGGTAATTAGACATGCCAGTGCCAGTATTCATGTTCTTTTGTGCCTCCTACAGGTGGTGGAGGAAAATGGCATGCGGAAAGTGCTGGTTTTGCCCCATGCTGTGGAGTTCCACCCATCTCTACCGCCTGTCCCACCACACCTCCCCCTCTACGCTTCCCCGCACCCAGCCATGCTACACCACCCGCACGTCTTTCCCCCTGAGCTCCCTCACTACGTCCACCAGCTGCCTGCCTTGCCAGTCTATTCCGAGCAGGGTGAGCAAGAGCATAGAAGTTCCAAGTTAAATGCACCACCTTTGTACAAGTTGGAGTGCCAGCAAGCCAGGGCTTGATACAAGACTGTCAGACATTTATTATCAACTTCATGCTAAAGCTATAGCGCCATAACGCTTTTATAACTCTGAAAGTGTGTGTGTTTGTGTGTTTGCGCCCATCCAGACATGATGTGTCACAGCATGTCGGTGCCAATCCACGAAGAACGCTCAGTGAAAATGCAGGAGCAGCTGCAGCGAAGACTGAAGAGCGGGCATCTGGGCACTGCTAATGGTGTGCCGTTCTCTCACAGCTCCCCTGGACCTTTTATTAAAGGGGGCCAGGCTGCCATGCACAACGGTAACAGCAAGGGCCGGACAGGCTTAGCTGCCTCTCCCACCCCCCCTCGACTTAAACACTCTGGCCGGACCAGAGCCTCTCCTACATCCAGCTGTGACGTTAAAGGTGAGCTCTATCAGTTTCTGTTCCTGCTTTGTTTTGAGGCATTTTTTACCTTCTGTCTTGTCCTTACCAGGTAAAAGTGCATGGTCAGTGGTGTTCAGGTTGGATGGTTGACTTGACCAGTCATAAAAATTCCAATTTTTGGCCCAGAAAAGTACGTAGTTCATCCACTACAATGTGGAGCAGTGTCTACTGAGTTTTGAGGCATATGGTTGGATCTGAGCAGTTAAAATGCCTTTGTACCCTGTAATGCTGTTGTCGACAGTCACATCATCAGTAAGACACCTGAACTTTATGCATTTAACTGAACTGAACCACTAACAGTCCTACAGGCCTTTACCATTCTGTTTCGTAAATAAGATGTTTTGATCGCGAGGAGATCGCTTTCTCTTCTCCACTTTTCCTCACTACGTCATTCTTTGCTCATCTTCGTCTCAGCGCTCCATAAGGTGTTCAGATTTTACAGGCTTTTTTGTAGTGTGTTTTCTGACCTTTCTTTTCAGTGGTTTTCATCTTATGGAAAACTTTCTGGTATATTCTCTACAGTCTGCTTATCCATTTTATGGCAGTCTTTGGCTACGTTCACATTACAAGCCTCGTTGCTCAAATCTGATTTTTTGGTCAAATCCCATCTCTCTGACAGGATGGTTCACACTCGTTTAGGTCAGTGATTCAAATCTGTCATTAATGTGACGAACCGGCGTCCTGAAATGACCCTCATGAGCTCATCCTACTCAGTAACGTCACGTGAATGAATCACGTTCATCATCAGCACAAACTAACGAGCAGAACGAGCTTCGCTGAGAAGATCATTAACTCTGATCAGCTCTCAGCTTCATTATTAGAGCGAGACGAAGGAGAAAAAGGTGAGATGAGCTGCTTTTCCACCGTTTACAGGCTTTAACTTCTGTTCGGCGCTGCTGCCATGGTAACGCTGAATGATGGTGCAGCGCAGTGGAAAAAAAGCACATGAATTCAGATCTGAGCGTCACATTAAGGTCGCACGGCCACGAATCGGATACGTATCCGATCTAGGACCACATATGAAAGTGGCTCAGGTCGGGTTTAAAAGATCAGATTTGTGTCCACACAGCCTTGAAAACATCAGATCTGAGTCACATTAGGGCAAAAAATCAGATTTGTGTCACTTCAGCCTGGTAATGTGAACGTGTCACCTCTGTTGTGCCCGGTGTGTTTTCATCATGACTGAAGGTATTCAGTCTGGTGGTCTGCCAAGTTGTTGCTTATCAAAGCATTCCTGGATGTACCAAAGAGTTGATGTTCATGTTGTAATGTTGCCACTAATGTTCTGGCTGTGTCTTTGATTGATTTATTATGATGGCCTTATGATTGCCTGCTTTACTGGCAGTTTGGCCTACATGTTGAGTGATCACTTCAACAGAATCTAGATGTAATCACCACAATTAGAAACAACTTCAGACCTTTGTTAGCTCTGTTGTGCATGAATTAATAATGCAACACACAACAGTTGGTCACAAAACAATTGAGCAGCCAATAATCCCTTAAGATGCAGGGAAGGCTGGGGTTCCAATCAACATCCTTATAGTAAAGGATACCCAATCAGCAGATATCTTAAATATTTCCAGTCATAGATTAGGATCCAGCTACTTAAGTTCGGAGAGACCTATGAGCACAAAGCTGATAGCCAGGCTAATGTTTCAAAACATTTGTAATCACTTGTAAAATCAGATAAAAAATGCATATTAGGACAAGAAAAGCCGGCCTTGTGCCGTCAGCGTTTCAGTCCAGAGGCGGAGGTAGGGCAGACTCCAAGATGTAAACTAAAATAAACTTCTTTTCCATAAGTGCTTTCGGAATGTGAAGGACTCAGCAATAAAGGTTGCAGATGCAGCAGCATCTCAGACACTTCTTAACAGAGTAACTTGCCTGAGTCAAGCTCTGCTAACTATGCTCAATCTGGGACCAGCACCGTGTCGACAACAGAGCAGCATTGCCTGGGGCAGTAGGGTGTTAAGTGCCTTGCTTAAGGGGAAAACCACACAGCCCTGGGATTTGAACCTGTGACCTTCAGGTTGCGGTCTCACCTGTTCTACCACTAGGCTTCAGCCATGCTGTTACAGCTGGAAAGCTAACTTTATCAGGTATATGATTATCTCCGTGTGTGTTATGTGCATTAGTCATAAACTGACATACTTACTTCATGGATGAGTAAAGAACTGCTAAACTCTGGTTAGACTCGCTTCTCGTTCCCCTGTCTGCTATAAAGGTTTGTAGCTCTGCGTTCTGGCTGAACATGTTCAGACAGACTTCTGCATGCACCTAGACCTCTATTGTCCAGGGGTGGTATTAATGGTAGTTACTTGCATGAGTTTGTCTGTCTGTTGGTGAGCCACCCTGAAACAACATTTGGGATGCTAATATTGTGAAGATCTCGCCCCTGAGTGAACGCTGGGTGGGACACAGTGACGTCTGCTGCCTCACCGCTTGTAGTTTGAAGCTGGACCATTTTGACTCTTGATTATGTCACCATTTGAGCCAAAATTTGAGCACACAAAAGGCTATTTCTGGACCCACAGAGTGCATTAAAACCATTCTTTTTCAGTCCAAAACATTCTCCTGCACATGGACTTGGATTTTGATATGTAAAATCATTGAACTGTCCCTCATAAAGGTCACAGTAAATACTACAGGATCTACAAACTACATGTCATCAGTGTTTGTATTAATTCTGAAGCCAATTGATACAAATTTTATAATGAACCGTTGTTTAGTAAATGCTTAAACATACTGGCACACCTGCCCACAAACCTCAGATGGCACAGTTACAAAGATGCTTGAATGTGTTCATGTGCTCATGTGTGCTCTTGGTCTATTAAGTGATCGGTGCTGACATTTGACGCGATTGTTATCTCTGCAGACCCGGAGGAAGAAGTGAGACGGGTGCAGGAGCTGCTGTCTGCCGTATGCAAACCAGCTGTGAGTGTGACCTACACGCATGATGTACCTGTCAGATTTCAAGCGCAATCGTGCAGATCTCATCTCATTCTTTTGCATCATGCTTTTTCTCTACAAATCAGGTGGGCAGTCTCACGTCCCACTCGGCTGTTCTCTCCTGGCGTCCCCCACTCCCTTTACCATCAGAGGTGGACACACACTCAAACACACGCGCACACACTGCCCTGCTGCTCAGCTACGAGCTGGCCTTGTCCCAGAGTGGCACCGAGGGAGATTTCAATCTTGTGTACCAGTGAGCAACAACCTTCCCTTTCATTGCACATAAACACATACACTGTTTTTATGTGATGTCAGGTCATCGGGTCAGACACAAACTACCATTCAGAAGTTTGGAATCAGTGTTTCTGAGAATTTAAAGACATTATTTGCCAAATTTAAAGAGCCCATACCCTACATTTTTTGTGTTTAATTTATTTCCCGTAATACCCCACTTCCATCATTTTTAGAGTTTATGCACCAAAAACCTATACATATATATTACATGAGCATTTTGAAGCCTCTATTTATCCAGTAGAATTAGCCAGGCTGTTTTTGTTGTTGTGTCTTTAAAGCCCTGTTTGGGCAGAATTCATTTTCTATAAGGAGGTAGGGTAACGCCAGTTTACCACAGGATGCCTGTAATGTTTATGACCAGTTTGCATGGGATAAGAAATCTCGGTATAAATGACTAAGATGGGAGTAGCTACTCGATTTACGCACTGCCTTCACTTCAGACATGAGCAGAAAACATAAAATCATTTCATTTAGCTGTAATTCTCTTAACCTCACCATCAATTTTGCTGTTTTAAGTACATGCACTGTGTCATTAGTGTTGTCGTTAGCTTAGTAATTCACAGCCAAAAACATTGCATGAAATCAAACACTTTTTCTGTGATTTTTTAGATCTTTTAAAGTTCTGAATTTGAGGTTGGACAGTACACATAAAACCACTGAGAAATGCCAGTAAAAAATGACATTTCCCCACTTACTTATGTAAAGCCAGTCCCGTCTGAAAAGGTTTATGTAAATGACCTCTGTTCTGCTTGGCTGTCCTGTATTATACCTCATTCAAAAAGTAGTCAGGATTGAAAAACTTCATTGTGAATGTGTGGGGCCAAACTGCGGTGGGCTAAAAAGGCAGGTATATGTAGTGTTAGGATCATTTCGTTGGTCCTAACAGTTGCACATGTTTTTTTCTGAAACTGTCCTGGAATTTTTGTCCCGAAAAGCAAACAAAGCAACAAATAAACACACAAAGTATTTTAACTTTGCCTGAAATACACCTCACATTCAGTGACTTTGTGTTAACTGAAATTGAAAAATTGTAATGCTCATATTTTAAAAGACAATGCGGCTTGATTTATAGCCTGATTACTGTCAGCTCATTAAGGCCCATCTCTAATGTACAATCCTCTTCCAGAGGGAAAGACACTACATGTACGGTGGGAGATCTCAGGCCCGCTACGCACTATTACGCCAGGTGAGACACACACGTTCACATTTCATGACTTACCGAACGTAATTTACTGTCTGTCTATGAACATAGTTGTAATGCAGCAGACTGTGTGGGTTCACTGTACTAACACTGTGTTTTTGACTGTGGAAGGGTTTGTGTGGCGTGTAGCTCGGTGAAGGGAGCCCCCTCTGAGACCGTAGCCTTCACTACTCTGTGCAGTGCCCCAGATGCTCCTGCAGCCCCCCGACTCATCCAGCGCACGAAGAGCTCCATCAGCCTTCAGTGGAGGGTACCAGTGCTATACTTTTACAGTGATGTTGTTCTAAACTAGAGCTGTCACTATGTTAGTAACCGAGTATTCTACCGATTATTTTCAAAATTAATCTAGTAGTCAGAGTTTTTATAAAAGGGAAAGCATTAAAATCTGTACTTAAGCTGAAGAATAAACCATCTAGAGTCACAAGACATTAAAATATTGCATTAGATAAAGATAAACAATGAAGGCTTTTAGGAAGACGTCATTAAAAAATAAAAACACTAAATGCGTATAATTGTGTCTGTCAGGCTCTGTTTTCTTACTGTTCAGAGAGACCAGTAGGACAATTTATAATGCGTTCAAATTAATCATTACAACTAATCATTTCAGTTATTTAGAAGGTTTCATTCAGTGTTTTTTTATTTGGTAGTCAAGCTTATTTAAGTAACCATGATTTACATAAAGTGTTCATATTTTTTATCCTTGTTTATCCCAGTCACCCAATGACAACGGCTCCAAAATCACTGGCTTTTGCTTGGAATACCATGAGGTAAGAACCTGCAGAAAGAAACACATGAATGTTCTTCCCCAAGTTGACATGTTAATGATTAACCGATGAACTGTTAACTGACAAACAATGATTCCAATGCTGTTCATTTAGAAAATAACATTCATTTACTTTATTTCGTTCTCCAATAAGCAACTGTTCTTATTAGAATAGGCAGGTTTATCAATCAAGTTACGAAGTGTTTTGAACTGTACACACGAGAGTGCAGTGGATAATTTGGTTTCACTGAATGTGAAGTGCACAATAAAAATAATAGTGTTAGGCACCACTTTTCAGGAGGATCTACTACTAACACACCAGTGTACCACATTGAAAGCAAACATCTGCAGCAACTGTTTCACCCATGTTCTCCCAGAGAAAAAAAGAGCGATGTGAGATGGATGTGCAGAATTATATAGAATATATAGTGAATGCCAGCAGCTTCCTGGAGCTATTAAAGTACACTAATTCCAGTAATGCCAGAAAACTTTAGGTCATATAATCGTGAACATGTTCTAGTTGTCAGCCCATCAGTTTAAACCAAACCAGGTTTCTAAGTTGGGCTACTTTGGCATGTTTAATAAGAATTTAGGACGTTTACTTCATAGGCCCTCTTAAGCCTGGCCCTACTTATGAGTACTGTGTTCCAAGGTCCATACAAAGAATACTATTAATCTCATTGCATTCATACAGAATTCAGTTGATGTCTGCACACGTACATCTTTACATATTTAGCATTTTACAATGGCAGAACTGAAACAACCCTTTTCATAACTGATATTTTGATGGGTCACGTCAGTGATTTTAAGCTTGCCGGTCAACAGTTAATGATTGACTCATGATGGTTGGTTATCGGTCAAAATTTGCATCCCTGTTCCTAATGTAATGTATTTTGCATCTTCATGAACATGTGTTTGGTCTTATCAGCAGGGAAAACAAAGTGCATTTAAAGAGGTTTACAGTGGCCTTGCCAAGCAGTACAAAGTCATGCGACTCATGCCTTCAACAAAATATGCCTTCAGACTTGCTGCTAAAAACGATGTGGGAATGAGGTGTGTATCAGGAATAAGTACAGTCCTCAACTGTCCACTGTAATATTTCTTAGTTCTGATTTTAGTGCTTGATTGAGGTCAGACAGCTGCACAAAACCTTGCATGTTTCTGTTTGGTTTCTCCAGTGCCTTCAGTGCGGTTCTGAGCTGCTGCACAGCCAGCTGTTCTGCCTCTCCTCCTGCACCACCATCTCCCCCTCGGCTGACAGAGGCTGGAGTCACATGGCTGAGTCTGGAGTGGGGCGCCCCCTGTGGGTCAGCCAGCCGAGATACACTCACATATATTCTGGAGATGGAGGACAAAGAATCGGTAAGTGGGCAGAAAGGAGTAAAAAGATATAAACTTGAGAAAGTAGCTGTGGTTCTGTGTCAGATACGTCACCGGATAAGCTGATGAGCTGGTACTCCTTTTGCTTGTTTTCAAATAGGCATAATAGGAGCTTGGCATCCATGCCTTCAACTCTTTGTACTAATTCATAGATGTGTTATGACACCATTTTTGCTGTTGTTTAAAAATGTTAAATAAAATTTGACAATTTTTATTGTTACAGTTAAAAGATATAATTTACAGTTCAAATACACTCTACAAACAGCGCAGAAATCTTTATGTTCATATTTTTTTTTAATTAAACATATAAGGAAAAATCCACTTGTTGCCAAAAGAATGAAACTGCTATTCAGCTTTATTGGAGATGACCAGTACCACATACATTTCCAGTATTTGACCCTGGCCTTTAGTGCGCCACTCCCAGAGCTCAGCGCATATGTCCGGTGTTAGTCTGAGTTGTAGATGTTGCTCTGTGGCTGCAGCTCAGGGCTAATTAGATGCAGATGTTTGAGGCTCTGCATCTGTTTCTGAGACTCTGAAAGTCTCTGTGGACCACAGACAGCAATCTCGCTCTTCCACAGCCGCATACTAGACATTAAGGAAAAAAGCAACACTAGCTTTAAGACTTTTTTCTTCTGTTTAGTCGAACAAAAGCCAGAAATTGGTTATAATAGTTGTTCCATTTGTGAAATATGTAAAAACTGATCAGATGGTGACAGAATTATTATTTTTTTGGATACAGGACTGTGGCTTTCAGCTGAAGCATAGAGGAGAGGAGCAGTCGTGTACAGTGAAGGAGCTCAGAAGATTCACGTCCTACCAATTCAGGGTAAGTGAAGGGAGTGCAGTGGCTAACTGAGTGTTGACCGATGTCAGGGCTAACTTTCTCAAAAACTGAACAAGCCACAGTCCCTGAAACATACAGGAAAAAGGAGAAATTAATTAGCTCTGCTATTAATACTACTCGTGAAAGTAGTAATGTGTAAAAGGCTAAACAATAAGGCCAAAAATCTTTTCACAATATATTAGTTATTCCATGTCAAATAATAATATCAATGACTCAATTTTCTAGTGATCAATTTTAAATCTGAATAGTTATTTGAACTGTGATAGAAATAAAAGGTGTATTAAGGTGTAATACACAAACAGCTAGCTAGATGTTACATTCATGTAATATGTCAAAGAATATCTGCAGCAGCGAAATAACTCCCAATTAAAAACTGCAGTTTTGTATGGCTGCGTCATTCTATAGTCGGTCTCATGCCCATATTAGTAGCATAGGCTATGTTTACATTACAAGCCTCGTTGCTCAAATCTGATTTTTTGCTCAAATGGATGGTTCACACTCGTTTAGGTCAGTGATTCAAATCTGTCATTAATGTGATGAACCGGTGTCCTGAAATGACCCTCATGACCACATCCTACTCAGTAACGTCACGTGAATGAATCACGTTCATCATCAGCACAAACTAACGAGCAGAACGAGCTTCGCTGAGAAGATAATTAACTCTGATCAGCTCTCAGCTTCATTATTAGAGCGAGACGAAGGAGAAAAAGGTGAGATGAGCTGCTTTTCCACCGTTTACAGGCTTTAACTTCTGTTCGGCGCTGCTGCCATGGTAACGCTGAATGATGGCGCAGTGGAAAAAAAGCACATGAATTCCGATCTGAGCATCACATTAAGGTCGCATGGCCACGAATCGGATACATATCTGATCTAGGACCACATAAGAAAGTGGTTCAGGTCGGATTTGAACAGATCAGATTTGTGTCCACACAGCTCTGAAAACATCAGATATGAGTCACATTAGGGCAAAAAATCTGATTTGTGCCACTTCAGCCTGGTAATGTGAACTTGGCCTTAGTTTCTCTCTATAGGAAGAAAGAGTGTTATTTTCGAAACTCACCTCTGTTGTGCACTGTGGTAAAAACGTTTTGTCCTGTGTACATCCCTCCCTCCCCCGAGTGTCACTGTGTCCTCTTTAATTATGAGGTTGTATGGCAGTCAAAATACAAATACTGCTACACACATACCACATGAACGCTAACACTCCTGTGCTTTGAAATGATGTTGAATTAAATCAAATCTGCTATTAGTGTAACACTGACCATCACTACTCTCATCATTAACGCTACTATCAGTGGTGTCTAGAAGTAACTATTGACTCTGTACTATTTCTATTGTGAAGAGCCCTGTGGGCGTATCCGGGGGTTTGTGAACAAAAATTTTGTCTGTTATTGAACTTTAGTCCTGTACCAACAGCAGCTCCTCAAACTGCCAAAGTGTCTCTCAACCCCTTAAAACCCCACATTTATTACATACTAAGTGTTATTATTCAGTCACTACAGGGGCTTCACTGCAAACTGACTGAGCTATTCTTCGGTTATAGAAGTGTGTTATAGTTTTGGGACCTGGCCAATTAAGGGGTTAACTACCCCTTCGACAAAGCTTGTTGGTTTGTGTGGGGTATTTTTACGAGGTTGCCAGTCTTATGATGTCAGTTTAGTGTGTAGCAGCTTTAGCTTGCATTTAGCAACAGTGGTATTTCAGCTCCTTAACAGTCTCGTTATTCAGAGGATCAGGTGACATTTGGAGCAGAAATGTGCATGAGGCAAAATGTATCTGCTGAGGAATATTCTTGTTTTCCACTGGATGTAACAGCACCAATTTTTCAAAAACAACATTAACTTTTGTTATAGAGAAAACCAGCTTAGACCCAGAGTTCCTAACATGGGCATGACGCTGACTACAGTATGATAAGATTCAGAGCTCTGTCTGTGAATGGTGAGGTTTCTTCTCACTCCTTGTCTAGCAAGTAATAGGTGGACATTGCCACCTAGTGTACGGATGTAGCTTTTATTCAAGTTTTTGCTGACAAATTGAGGAATAGAATGACAATGATTTCATCAAAAACAAAAAAATTACAATTTATTTATATAGGTATTGTTACACAAGCCTATGCAGGTGTCTGCCTGGGAGGTTATTGCACTACATGCTAGTGTCATGTTTAAGCAGGTGTTGGTGGCCAGCTCAGAGGGCACCAGCCAGCCCAGTTCAGTAGTGGAGTACAGGACCCAGCCAGACCAACCTGGTAGTCCAGGCAAACCGTCACTGCGCTCTCCTGCGGAGCCACACAGCCTGCATGTTATCTGGGGTAAGTTACGTCTTACTCGTACGATGCTTCACTACAGGTTGTGCTTAATATCATAACTAATTTCTAGACGTTGCTTATGCCTTGTTCTTGGCTGAAAAGCAGGACGAATCCTAATTTACAGTGTAATTAGGTAGTGTAAATAAGTCTAATACTACCCTCTAGAAAATCCCAACTGCCAACACTTCTTAGAATTCTTTTTACTAAATTTTTAGGCAACAGAGGCTTAAATCTGCAGTAGACTGCAATAAGTAGTTTAATACTTAAGTATGAATTTTAAAATAACCTTCTTTTGCTTGTGTTATGTGTTTATGTAATATGTCTGTATGCGAACACTATTGTCTGCTATTATTTCAGAGGCACCAGAGGATGATGGGGGCTCACCAGTCACTCAATATGTACTGGAACTCAGTCACAGTGGTGAGAATTGGCTTCTGCCTGAATTACACCTTGTAGTAAAGTGTATTTACCATCATAGATGTTCAACATGCTGTTGATGTACCTTGTTTTTGAATATGGATCATTTTACTGAACTGGTTCAAAGTCAGAGTTGAAAACTAATTTCAGACTTTTAACTGACTTGCACTTCAGATCAAAACAGTCATAATTCTGCCAAAACTTACCAAAGGTTTCGGTAGTGACAGTTTTTGCTAATTTTTAGCAGAACTCAAAAATGCTAGCCAGTACATGAGCAGCAAACACAGCTGTGAACAGTTATCCACACATAAAATCATAATATCTTTCACTAAAACACAAAGAATATGTGTTTTTGGTAGTGACAGTTCTTAAGGTTACACACTGATTTTCAGATTTTGGGACACATTTACTTCAAAACAATGGGATTTAATTGTTCACCGTGTGGTCATGAGGGATGCAGCCTCAGTTCCTTGTCTAAAATTCAGGGGTGTGGCTAAAATAAGGCTCTACCTTATTAAAAATAAAAGTTTTTGCCTTTTCCTGTAAAGTTACAATTTTGGAGATGCTAATAGCTCATTAGTATTGTAGTGTATGTATCCACTGTGCCTTATGGTACCGTGTGAGGCTGATGTTCTGAGCTCCATTGCGTGTGAACGTAATATCTCAATTAGTGGCTTGGATTTAAATATATCATAGCATAATATTCATCTTATTCTTATTAATATCTAAGGTCTGAATCCTTAACTGTTTTTCTGTGAGACTGCAGTTTGCACTAATTCAGTAGAATCGTCCGTATGTGTCTGCCCAGGAGCAGAGTGGGAAGCTGTATACAGCGGGTCTCTCAGGCAGCATGTGTGTGAGGGCTTGCGGGAAGGGACATGGTACAAGCTCCGAGTGTACTGCCAGAGTTTGGGAGGGCGGAGTCAGGTAAGTGCAGCAACAAAAGGTTTTTTCAAATCTAAGATTTTGGAGCTGAGCTCAATTTGGTGACATAGAAACATTTATTTTCATTTGTTTTCTCCTTGAGTGATAGATGTGTGTTTTTATTTCTTGAGGTGTCAGAGATCCTCTCTGTTGAGACGCCACCTCTGCCTCCTGGACCGTGCCAAGCATTGCGTACTGCAGGTGCAGCCACAACCTCAGAGATTCCACTCTGTTGGGGTGAGAGATGGTCATTCAGACCAGCCAATTTTTGTATATATATGTTAGTTTTGTTAGTTTTCAAAAAAAACAACCGTAAGGACCAAGAATTTTATAAAATATAACAGCATGTGGGAGAGTTATATCACAATATGGACTGCCTCTGTGTGCTTTCTAGACCCTCCAGTGTGTGATGGTGGGGCACCAGTGTCCCAGTACTGCGTGGAAATGGCCCAGGCAGCAGAGGAGTATCAACAGCAAGTGTTCTGTGGCTCTGATGTCAGCTGTACTATCAGCCAGCTGCTACCTGGAAGAACCTACCTCTTCTGGGTGAAGTCCCGCAATCCAGCAGGGGTAAGTTCTTGCAGAGTAGCTACACTATACGTCTAAAGTATGCAGACGTTTCTTCTGAGTAGTAAATTCAGCTTCTTTGGGGTGAAACCATTGCTGACACTGACATTCAACTGAGCACACAGCTTGTAAAATCATCAAAGAAAAGCATTGCCAGTAGAATGGGATGCTCTGGAGCAGCCACACATTAGGTCAGCATGGCTAAAGGGGTAGAATGCCCCCAGCACTGGGCTGTGGAGCAGTGGAGCTGTGTTCTCTGTAGTGATAGAACACCTTCGGATACCTTGGAAATGAGTCGGAGTGTCATTTGTGATCTAGAACCATTCATAAGTACCTTACAAGATTAGTAGAGCACCAGTTAAAGCTAAAACCATGTCATGCAAACAGAAAGCACCATGGAGGAATGCTACTGAGGTTCAGCTCCAAAAGAGAGAATGTGGGAAGGTTAAACACAGATGGCGTAAAACCAAGCTTCAAATTCACAAAGAAATCTTCAAAGATAGGCTGCGTGATTACAACACAATAATGTAACAATAATGGACCATCTTTCTTCTCTAGTATCAACAATAATATAAACAAAGACATGATACTCTTCGCCATGGTTGGCAAACTAATAAAGTGACCTGCATGTATGGCCTCTGAATTAGCATCAGCTGTGAGATGTGATGAGTTTGCATATTTATTAACACTAAAATCCATATTAGACAAGACATTAGTACATCTATAGCCAACATTGAGCCCGTGTTCTCTCCATCATTACATAAAGATAATAATAGAAAATGTCCCAGTTTTGTGCTATTAATAATAAAATTTGAATCAACACAGTGAGTCATCTTGAATCATCCACTTGTAGTCTCGACATGTTACCAACAACCTTATTGAAGAATGTGTTTCACTCAATAGCAGCGGACGTCGTACTTCAGATAGTAAACACTCCTGTTGGGCGTTTTTCCTAACACATTAAAAGCTGCAGTTGTGAAGCCCCTCTTAAAGAAGAAAAATCTAAAAGCAACCCTACAAAATAATTACAGACCAATTTTGAATCTGCCTTTTGTTGAAAAATCACTGAGAAAATCATCTTCAGGTAATTTACTGGCTTTCTGTCTTCTAGACAAATTTCAGTCAGGATTTCGGCCTAATAGTAGTCCTGAAACTGCTCTAATTAAGATTATTAATGACATTTATTTAAATACAAACTCTGGAAAATTATTTGTTCTACTACTGCTCAATCTCAGTGCTGCCCTTGATAGATAGACAGCTGGGTTGGTCTCTCAGGAACCGTCCTAAAATGGTTCAGTTCATACCTGCAAGGAAGGAACTACTTTGTGGTGACCCCCAGGGTTCAATTCTTGGGTCGCTTATATTTAATATATACATGCTTCCTGCAGTTATTTAATCAGCATTTTATCACCTTAAGAACATCAGCAAGATCAGAGATTTTCTGACTAAACCAGACCTGGAGAAACTCATCCATGTCTTATAACTAGACCCCCAAAAAAGACCATCAGACAGCTCCAGCTGATTCAGAATGCAGCTGCCAGAGTCTCACCAGGAGAAAGAAGGACTCCATTCTTAAATCCTCACACTGGCTACCAGTCTGTTCCAGAACGGACTTTAAGATGCTGTTACTGCTCTATAAATGTCTTATTGGTCAGGAGCAGCGTATTTATCTGATCTGCTGCAGCGATATGAGCCGAGCAGAACCCTCACATCATTAGGAACTGGTCAGTCAGTCCTGCCGAAGGTGAACACTAAACATGGAGAAGCAGCGTTTAGATACTGTGCTGCTCTTAAATGGACCCAGTGGACAGAGAGCATTAGAAGAGCCGACACTGGACACTTTAAATCAGCCTGAAAACGATCCTGTTAGAGCAGCTTTCAGCTCAGTTTAAACACTGTTAGCTCTCCCGCAGCTCTCTCTTGTAAACTTTATTATCCTAATTTAATGTTCAATTTAATTGTAATTTAATTATTTATTTATTTCTTCTCTTTTAAAATCTATTGTTTTTATCATGCTTTAATTTCCATAAAGCACTTTGAATGACCACAGTGTATGAAAGGTCCTGTGTAAAAAAGTTGCCCTGCCTTGCCTCGAGGCTGTTGCTTCCTGTTAAAACTTTTGATTTCTGAATTTCAGTGCATTTCGGGCTTCTTCCATAGCCATTTCAAGCTATTGCACATTAAACTAATTTTGTATAGAGCAGTCATTCTGCTCTGGTATGAACAGCTGTGTATTTTCTTCCAAAGTGGGGTCCTTTGTCGGAGATGTGCCAGGCCTCCACAGCCCCAGGACCTCCAGAGCAGTGCAGCGCGCCACAGCTGATACTGAACACGTCTACTGGCGTACTGGCTACTTGGCAGGTGAGGAGGCGTGCCGGATTGGAATGTACGTCTCTCTTTCTAGATGAAAAAGTGAATGTTACACTAAATAAATGTTCTCCTTCACCTACTACAGACCCCAGTGTGCAATGGGGCGGAGGTGTGTGAGTTCAGGATGGAGTGGGGGTTAGAGGAAGGCACTCTGGAGTTGCTGTATTCTGGCCCCTTAACTCAGTATGAAGTGAGTGACTTGCAACCAGCCACAGAATATCGCTGCAGGGTGCAGGTAGGAGCCTCTTATTAAAGGGGTTTTCTAATGTGTTTATGCTTCATAACTTCATAAATGTCACATGTAGTGACTAAAGACCCCTTATTTCCTGTCTTATTGTTCTCTCTAAATACTTAGGCAGTCAATGCTGTTGGGGCGGGCCTCTTCAGCGATGTTGCCACAGTAACCACACCAGCCTCAGTCCCAGCAGCTGTGGAGCATGTTGAGGAGATGAGGGAGGGGGCTTTGGGTGTTGTCATGGCTCACAGCCCCGCTACCACTCTGGCCCTGCGGTGGAAGGAGCCTCATTGCCACGGAGCAGAAATTTCCAGCTATAATATAGTCATTGGAGAGGAGCTCCCTCTATCTATAGGGAGGACCAGCTACCACATACTGGAAAATCTGCAGCCAAACACTACATACAGGTATGAGCAGATAGTAAATAAGTATGATTAATAACCGTATAGATTTTACTGCTTTGACTGATGAGCTGAAATGATAACTTACTGCCCATCAGGATACGGGTGCAGGCTGTGAACAGCATGGGTGCTGGTCCTTTTAGTTCAGCGCTGAAGCTCAGGACACGAGCGTTGCCTCCAGAGCCCCCAGTGCTAGAATGTGTGGTGGCGGGCCCTCAGAGCTTGAAGCTGAAATGGGGAGAGGGTCTCATCAGGCCACAGACCAGCCGAGGCACACACTACTGTTTGCACATGCAGGTTGGCGCTGACAGGTACAGACACCAGTTACTACCTTCTTCCACAACTGCTACAACAGTCTATCAGTAGCAACAGGAATGTACATGATAGGATCACATGTATAAAAACAGTTCTTGCAAATCTGAAAAAATAAACAATTATATAATGTTTGTACTTAAAAAGGCGAGGCTTACAGCAGACTGTGCAGCGAGTGGGCGGAGTCCGTTACTCTGAAGTAGCAACAAGCTGCTTGTTAAGGAACTATAATTTGGCTGAAGGAACTGCGAACATTAAAACATATAAAAAAAAAAACATGGTCCAGTTTACTTATTTATTACTTTATTTATTTAACTGTTGTATTAAAGCAATAGAACATAAGAGGGAGTGTGTTATCGCCAATATACAGTATATGGTCTGTAAACAGAGGAAATGTTATGTGATGAAATGTGGATTATTTTTTTATGGTGTAATGGTTCTAAGATCACTTTAGTCTTAGTTACAATACAGTCACGAGAGATTTTCTGAACATATTTCTGTGTTGCAGGTCGATTTGTATCTACAGTGGTCCATGCCATACGTTCAAAGTACAGCGATTGTGTGAGGACACAGAGTACCAGTTCAGCATTCAAGCTCACAGTGAGGCGGGCATGGGCCCCCTCTCCCCTTCCTATACCTTCAGCACCACCCGCTCCCCCCCACCACAGCTCAAAGGTAAGCCTTATTAGATTTATACCCTCAGCAGTTTTTCTATGGCTGAATCTTAGCTAATCTTTCTGAATTAGCTGCCCTTCAGCTTGTTGGTAGTAATACCTGATGTCTTGTACTTTTGATAGCCCCACAAGTTGAACTCATTGAGCGGAGTAAGTATGCAGTCACATGGGAGGCCCTTCAGCCAATGAAAGGAGACCTGATTGTGTACAAACTGCAGATGCTGAGGGGGCGTGAAGTGGAGCAGGTAAGGAAGAGGTTGCCTAACCATGTACTTGTAATGGTGCCACTTTCAGAAAAACGTGAAGACAAAAATCTTATTGGACCACTGTAAGTCCAGATGTTCTCTTTGTGAGAACATCAGTTAGACCAAGATTTGATCGGCGAATGCAAAACACCCTGAAGCAACACAAAATACTATATAAATTGAATGTTCTTTACTGGCCAAAGATTTACTGAAACATTCACAATTCTTCAATCTCATAAATACACAACTCACACATTAGTTTCATAGTAGTAAGCGAACAATTTATGTTTGATTGCTTGTTTCCTGCTGTTGTGTGAGCAAAAACATCTTGTGTCTTGTTTCCTTTCTAGCTATACAGGGGCCCAGCGACCTCCTACACATGGCAGAACCCAACAGCCAGTGTCGCGTGTCGGCTACGAGTCTATGCTGGGCGCCGGAGCCAGGATGGCAGCGAGCTGTGGGGTCAGTGCAGCCTCAGCACTGGCCTGCCCACGACTGAGCTGCCGAGGGAACACAGGATCTCCAGCTGTCATGAGCCTCAGCCCAGGAGAAGCTGGCCTCTAACCGACGAGCCCTTTGCCACCGTCTTGCTCCTCGGCTTCGTCATACTGGCCGTCCTCTTTGCGGTGCTCATCCAGTACTTCGTCATTGAGAGGGAGTGAGGGAAGGGAAAGGAGGGAGCGGTGTTAGAGCAGAGCAGGCCTCGTAGCACATTAGCCTCTTTTTCACTGTGGTTCTGAGCACAGAGAGTGACCCTTCCAATGGCATTTCCACATGGACACGGTTTGGCACAGAATGCTTACAAACTGTGCCTGTTCTGGTTTGCTATCCATGCTCGTTGCAGCAGAACTGTAAGCGTAATGACATATTTATTCATTGATTGGCTTTTCTTTTAAGTCACCTGTGTGGCGGCTCATCAAAACCAAAAATGGTCAGTAAAAGCTCAGTACAATTCCACATTCTCCAAATTGAATGAGGAGCCACGGCAACAACTTTATTATATACTTTGCACGGCAATACTGGCTCACTGTCTTCACCGTCGTTTTTCTTCCTAGTCTTGATTTAGCAGCGCAACAGACGAAACTGTATGGCATGGAAGAAAGAGATGATTTATATTTGAAGCCAGTAGGTACTTTTCCCAATACATTTTCTGTCATGACCAACATAAACTGTGACAAATGGGACAAAAAGATTGCTGCCTTATGTTCTTGTAGAGGGTTACTATATATGGTGGTGGCCAGATTATATATTCCTATGAATTTAGATCATTTATAATGAAATGCGTCTAGACAAGGCCAAGCTCTCAGTACTTTGATGACCTTGGCTGGTATTTGGTACACAGTAGTTTTTTTTTGTTTTTTTTTTTTTGAATGTTTAAGGGCCTCCTTCCTCATTTGGCCATCATGGGATACACCCAGGACATTCTTAAGGATGTTATATTGGGTTTTTGTTCCTTGATAGAAAGTAAGTCTTGGGGACTGAGTACTCACTGCCTCACAAAGAGATGAGTTTGTTGCTTATCTCTCAGGCAGTTTTCCTATTTTTATCACAATTCAAAAGGGAGACAGTGCCAAAGTTTTAATAGATATAGTAAAAAGCGCCCTCATAAATGACTGAAGCTCAGCGTTCTCTCATCGGCAGAAATATTTTCACATTTTTATGACCGCTCTGTAACATCATAACCACAACGTGAGTAATATTCCATTTATCTCAGACATTGGGAGAGCTAGATTTTTATGTTCTGCTATCACCAGTGTGTGCTTATACAATAGAGTATACATACATTCTAGCTATGTTCATGTACATACAGATATGGCAGTATTGGGTAGATAGCCTGTATGGATATGCATTTGTTATAAATGTCTCTCTATTTAGCTCAAACTGAGCATAGTAGTCCCTTTGCAGTCTTAGAGAAGCTTTTGATTAAGAGTTTTATTTTACTATGTGCTTTAACACTTTATATTCGTAGTGAATTCTCTTTGTTGTCTCACTCTTCATCCAACACTACTGATTTGGTAGCACACGCCTCCTCCATTACCAGCGAAACCTACCGCTCTTTATAACTACTCACAGCACGGAACTGTCGAGAATCTCCTTGTGCTCAGATAAAAGCTCGGCCATGCCGCCATGTAGATCGGGGTGGGGAAGTCCGTTCCTGGATTCCACCTCGGTTTGGTGATTTTCCTGTTCAAACACACCTCATTCAGCTTATCAGTTAATTATCAGGTTTAGTCGAAGAGCAACACTGAACTATACTGGACTCTACCCCTCAGTTACCCACCCCAGATGTAGACACTTAGCAATGCAGTGGTGGAAGACCTTGCCTTCCTTGCTGGCTCCTGAGAACGCAGCCATTTGTGTTCTCATGGACCCCTGGCCACGGACTGAGGTTGGCACAATAGGGATTTAAGTCTTTGGTCGGCTTAAGTAATTTGGTGAAAATGTATCCAACTTTCTTCTTACCCAAAATGCAGGGTTGCCAAATCTCACAGTTTTGGCGTGAGACTCATCATTTCGGGTTTTTTCTCAAGCTCCACAAAATCTAAAGCCAACCAGCCTACATGCTCATACCAACTGTTTTGTGTTCTTGATAACATTGATTGGCTCATATTGTAGCCCATTAAGAAAAGATAGGCTGAATCGCTCACAGCCCCACCTTTTTACGTCATCAGTGTAGGCAAAGTAGGTGTTCCTCAGATCAGCTACCGACACGCACAGATTCAAGTTCCTTCAGCAGGATTTTAAAATTTCTCACTCCAGTCATTTCACCAAAGTTGGCAACTCAGCCTATATGTACTAATTTAGCCTGGATGTGTTCGGTGTCTGAAGTTTGCTTCTGTAGTTTTGCTCTGGAGCTAAAATGCTTGCAGTAACTGTAACTGTATGTCAGAGTGTCAGTAACCACATCAGCGAGTCTATTTGAGATTACTTAAGAGCTCAGTGTGGTTTGAAGCAGGTGTGTCTGCTGATTTAGGCTTACAGTTTTAGTGATGAAGTATAAGCCTCCATTGCTTGTCACCTACATTAGCATCGTAGCTCCAGGACAAAACTAAAGAAGCAAACTTTGAACATGTCTTTGCTGATCGACTACAATCAGGGTAAAGGAAAAGCTGTAATTTCTGCTGAACTATTGCTTTAAACATTTTTAACATTAAACTAAAAGAGTCAGTTTTATCTAAGCATCATGTGGTTTACATTACCATCACTTCCAGTCTGATTTAAAACACTGCAAATGTGCCATAGATTGTGACCATATTAAGTAGTTTAGCTGTAATTGGTAATGCTGATCTGAGCTTTTGGGCCCTGTTTGTGTAGCTGAGGAAGCAACGTTGACCTGAAATGCCAAATACAAGGAAATAGTTTAGTGATTTCACATCCTCCCCTTTAAAGAGTAACTATCCTTTGTACTCAAACATTGTTAATAGTGCTTTTGTAAACGCCCATATAGAACCAGAGTGAAGTGCCTCTATCTGACCGGGGTCGTGTGTATCAAATACGTCACAGTGCTGAGTTAGAATCATTGCCTTTTAAATCTTAATGACTGTAATTAAATATACGATGTAGAGTTGATCCTAGATCTGCGGGGATTGATGCGTATGTGCTCAGGCCTTTAAAGCTTGTTTCTAACCGGTTATAGTTGTTGACGTCCTTATAGAGCTGCTTGTGTCTGTTCTAGGTGACGGAGAAAAGCTGCTGTCTTTTTCTACTTTATAGTGTAAACTGTTTGCTCTTCATACCTCTTTCATGGTGCAAAAGCCATTCTAGACTGGCTCATCTTCATAATTAGGCTGAATGCTGCAAATCCAAGCCTGGCCAATGTGTTTGTTTTTTTTTTGGTCATTGCTTTTTCTTCAGCTTGTCACTGACCTTCAGGACTACAGAGTGTTTCTAAATTATGTCATCAGCCTCTGCTTTGGGGACTTTCATATTTACATGTAAGCTTTGTATTGGATCAAATAACTGCAGATCTATCTCATTCAGTGTATCTGACATATTGAATGTCTTATATTTTGTACCTAATAGACGTCTAGTTCACTCAGAATGCTTTCTAGAAGTGCTGGTCTAGAACACCTTTATTATTATGCCAAGAAAAATATTAAAACTAGCAAAGAAGAGGCAGCATAATATCACACCCAATGAGAGTTTGTCCATGGTGAGCTTACAGTACAGTATGTGTTTGTGTTGAAGGAGCATATCATGCAAAATTCATATTTTCATGTGTGATTCCTGACCATGAAGGTACAGTGCAAAAGTCAGAGAGCGCCCTTCGTTTAGTTTTATTTGCAGTCAGTGCGCCCATTGAGTACAAGTTATACATTTTTTTCAGGAGGCTTTTCTGAGGAGGTTAGATATAAAATAATTGCGTTGTATAAATTTGGGGAAAGTCAAAGAAAAAGGAGAAAAAAAACTGGAGTTTCCTAAACTGGAATTTAAAAGCTGATTAAAAGAAAACAGAACACCTAACAAGCACAGACACCAAAACTGCCCCATCAGATAAACAGCACTAAAAGCTTTCAGAGGAGAAAATCAGGCTCCACTCTTACTTCAGATCTGAAAACATCCACAGGTGTTTCTGTCCATCCTTCCACTGTGAGAAGACGAGTCAGCGCTATGGGTCTTAAAACAGTGGTAGCTGTCATGCTGGTACTGAGAAAAGGAAATAGACAAAAACTAAGAAAATTTGCGCATTAAACAAAGAATCTGCTGGTGTTCTTAAAACAATGGACCGTCCACCCCAGAGTCCAGACCTTAACATCACTCGAAGTGTTTGGAATTACCTGTGAAAAGCAGAAAATGAAATAAACTTCTATTAACTTTGAAAATGTGAAAAATATCCCAGCAGATTTTTTTGAAAAACTGAAAGCAAGTCTCCAAAAAAGAACTGAAGCTGTAATAAAGCCAAAGAGAGGACATGCAAAATACAGAAAAATCTGATATTATATGTAGCTGTTGAGGCTTCTGTGTAATTTTCTGTTGAATATGTTTCCTTTTTTCCTGACACTAAAAAATGAATAACTTAAAGGTATGATTGGAAATTAAAAAGAAATGAGGTGTGTTCTTTGGCACAGCACTGTAGTTCCAATAAACGTAACTGCCCCCTAACCATTATCGAATGTAGCCACGCACCTTTTGAGGTCTAGTTGATGGTAGAGATCAATGAAAATGAAACAATAAAACACATTTAGGATCTACAGCATTGCTGTTTTGCTGGTAACAGGAAACAGCCCAGATTTTTAATTTAAACAGGCCAGATTTGTCAGACTTGTATGCTTTACAGAATCTTTGCAAATGAACAGCGTTCAGCAGTGAAACCAGGAAACATACATGGGTTTCAGAACCAAAGACATCACTACTTCAAGATATGTAGATCACTAATTATAAAGCCGTTCTCCAGGCAGACTATATGATTGATGCATAACTGACCTAACAGTCATTTTGAATTGGTGTCTGTCCAGGAACATCCCAGACTGTCAGTAGGACACAAGCAGAAGAGCTGATTCTTTGAGGCTGTTAAGACACCACAAGCTCATTTTGACATTTCCTCCTGACTGAACCTTCCCAACTGTCTTCAAGGTCAGAGGACATACTAAACTCTGAATTTCACAGAAAATGTGTCCCAGCTCTGGTCCTGTATGGCACCTGTTCCACAGTTCTGTACAAAACACAAAACTGCGTATAAGGCTCAGGACTGGAGTTGGTGAACCACCAGCATGGAATGCTCCTTTAAAAGAACTCAATACTGCAGCGTTTTTCAGCCGAATTCTGTTTGGTGAATCTGTAATATACAGTCAATTACCATGGACGGTAATTTCAACGTGTTTCTTTGTAATTAGTAAAAGGAGAGAAAACACATTATAGTAGCCAGTGGATGGCGCTAAAGCTGCTTTCAGTGTCAGTGAATTTTCTGTTTGTTTACTAATTGCATGGAAATGCTTCAAAAGTATTGTCCATGTTAAGCAACCATTCGCTGTAGACGCAGGAGAGAGAGAGATTAGGCTGAAAAATGCTGAAATGTCTCTTTAAAGCAGCCCAGTTAGTTTTTTTCCCCAGTAGATGGTGCTGTAGTTCTAAGCCAGTGAGCGTCCTGTGTTTTCCAAAAGTTCTGCTGAGACTAAGATATTTTTTTTGTTGGTAGCCAAAATAAAATTAACGGAGTGCTTTAAATTTGAGTGTAAGCTACTGTGGTTCTACTCTCATGTATTTCTGTTTCCTGGAAATGTAACCAAAGCCAGTAGAAAGACTGTTACCAGGCACCGAGTTTACTGTGCTCACACTGATTTCCTTTCATTTTGGTCAGTTTAAACTTGCTGTCAGTTCAGATCGACGACTGTCACAAAGCATTAAAAAGCCATAAAGAGGAGACTCAGATCGTCGCAGTCTCTCTGTGGCTCGCTGCTAAAAATAAGTCACACTAAAATGAATTGTAACAAACACATTATGATGATTTTTTATTTAGATCCCTAAACTAACTGCCTAGCTAGCGTCGCATTGTGTTACTGTCTTATAGAAACTAGAGGAATAGATTGGCAACACGGACAAAAGCATTCAATAGCCTTTACTGTATGCCTGCCTGTACATGTAATCATCTTATGTCAATCTATTTTAGAGGCTCTAGGTTACCTTTTGTCATGCCAGTATTTTTAGACCACACTTTTTGATACTGAACATTTTATTTTGAAATACAAAAAATATTATACATTCCAAAAAAGATTATTTATCTGCATCAACGTTTTTCTTATTTTTAAAACTCACATTAAAAGACTGCCATGTACTGTATGTCATAACTGACTTGTAACAATCATAGATAATATATTTAATATGGCAAATAAATTATAGTCATTATATGTACTCAGTGTGATGTGTGTGTATCTTATGCTATTTGTTTGTCTTTTACTTTGATGGATAGAAGCATAAGTGATGTTTTGATGCCAAAAGCGTTTATAAGCAGGGCGCGTTCCTTTTTTCAAAACAGTGTTTTGTGTAACTGAAGCATCTTCAGTTAGACCTTCAGCAATAAGAGAGGTCAGGGAACCAGCCTTGTGACTGGAAGGTCGCCGGTTTGATCCCCTGAGGCGACAGTACGTGACTGAAGTGCCCTTGAGGAAGACACCCAACCCCCAGCTGCTCCCCGGGCACTGTGGATAGATAGATTGAGAATTCTAGATGTAGCATATATGAATTTAACTGCTTTTGTAAGCTTTTTGGTTTCGGCCAATGATGTATTTATTTTTGGTGTTTATCTGTGTAGCAGTTAGCTTGCTAACCAGCAAGTGAGCAAAGGAAAGTAATGAATTTACGCCAGCAGCCTTGTACAGCAGTCATGTTTAAATCCCAGGATGAACGTAACAAATTAAATGATATTGTTTTTAAATATTATGTTTTTTGAAGTATTTCACTGGCTTATAAACATCTTTGTCTGCCACTTTGGGGGGTTTTGAAAAGGGAAATGCATCAAATCACAATCATGACTGGACAGGTTCTGCTACACTTGTTCACCCTCGCCCCTCCAAGGGCTCATCGAACAAACTCCTCGTGAGCAAATAAAGTAATGGAACAGCCCTTAAGATGGAATCTGAGGTTCCTCCAAAGGAAATGGTGTAGAAAAGTTAATGAGCTCATGTGAAAATGAAACAGGTGTCTCCTCGGCCAGGCCCTTCTGAGGGTGTTGATTGGGTCTCTTTAACTGAAGAACATAATTTAGTTCCTGTGTCCATCAAAAATGGATGAACATTGCAAATAATAATGTATGGTGTTAAAGTCTGCACTGTTGGACTTGAATATCTAAAAAACAGTGAATTGTATTATGAATGTCATGAAAACACTTAATTATTCCTTTTTTCCTGTTTTACTCACATCCGAACTCTCGTTCTCGTAGAATCTGAGAACATTAATTTAAAGCAGGGGTGTCCTGTCTCATCCTCAAAGGGCCGTGTGGGTGCAGGTTTTTCGTGCCAGACAAGAAGAGCACAACTGATCCACTCATTTAATCAGTCCGTCTCAGTCTTTAAACAGCTGAGCATGTGTGTTCCTGCTTTGTTGCAATGAAAACCTGTAGCCACACCGGCGCTTTGAGGATAAGACTGGACACCTGACTGTTTAAACTTTTACTACTTGGAAAGAAGACAAATGCTTATTGGCCATAAACCTCTTTTTAAGACGATTCCTTTTTCAAACAGTGTTATTGTTCCTGATTTAATGAATTAGCCACAGTATTTTACACCACATAACTTACATTTAATAAAATATATCTTCCAAATGACAAAGAAAAAATAAATACTGGTGATTTGATACGTACTCATAAGATTTTATTGTTGGGTGATTGGTTACCAGTATAGCTGCCAAGAAATTGAACTTCCCACCTTCAAAAAGACAGCGGTTTATAGAAGGGTCATTCTACAGAAATGTCCACTTTTCTATCTGTCCATAGGAGTCACTGGTGTTACTGATCTTCATTGGTGTTCCACATAATAAAGGAACACTAGAGACATTTTAATGAACAATACATTTTACAAAATAACTGCTACAGAACATCAAACCACATGTAGTCAATCATGGAATATCCACTAAAATATGGAATTTAATCCATTTGTATTCTATTTTTCACAATTACCTCAGAATAAAGTCGGTCACACCAGTGACTTCAGCTAAAAGCTTCATATGAAATCATGAGCTAAATGAGAAAATCTCTGATAACTGAAAGACACTGTGGACTCACCATGAGCTTTTCTTCATAGATACTCAGAAAACGGGTAAAAGGAAGTCAAGTGATGTCATCAGTGTGACTTTTATTTCAAAATAAGAGATTTTTTGTTACATAGTAACAAAACAAGAAAGGCTCTAGATCAGGGGTGCCCGGCTCCAGTCCTGGAGGGCCGCTGTCCAGCACAGTTTGGTGATCTACCTGCTCCAGAACACCTGATTACACTCGTCTGTTAACTGCCAGGTTAGGCGGGTGTGTTTGAGTAGGGAAACCTCCAAACTGTGCCGCACACCAGGCCCCCAGGACCGGAGTTGAGCTCCCCTGATCTAGAGAAAGATCTGTGGTGTAAGGAGAAAAAACAATTCATGTAACAAAAATGGGCGCTTTTGTAGCACTGTGGTGTTTTGAACGTTTTATATATACTTAATTATTGTCCTTGTTGTTATTTATGAACATTATTGTTGTTTATTTGACGTGTTTGAACGTCTGCGTGAACCCTGCGCTGGGAAACGCCTCCTGAGCGGGTGTTGAACCAGCCCGTGTTTACGGCCGGTCACATGCTCAGTCTGACGAGCGGCTTGTCCAGGGGCTTGTAGCGGCGGATTGGGACTGAGCGGATCTCGGGACGAGGATGTTCAAGGCTCTGCGGTCTAACAGGTTTCAGTCCGTTTGAATGGGCTTTTAATTTCTTGCACTGTCAGCGTTCCGCTTACAGGTGCCGGTAGGTTTCCGTCAGAGGGAAGTGGCCCCGGGTTTGTTTCCAGGAGAGACTCGGTTACTCCGAGTTCGCTGCTGCACACAGACGCTAAGCCGGACAGAAGAGTCTGTGTTTTAATGCGGTCAGTTTCTGAGGCTTCCTGAGTTTCTGTGAGGACTTTCTGCGGTTGAGTTTAGTGAGTAAATAGTGCCGCTCGCTTAACGAGACGGACTGACGGACAGGCTGTAGCTGACGGTGGTTAGCTTATCTTATCTTAGCTTAGCTTAGTTTAGCTGCCATTATTTCCCTACCGAGCGGGGTTAGCGGGGGTTAGCTGGCTGGCTAGCACAGTTGTGAGAAAACAAGCTAATTGACACCAAAACGAGACGGATTACACTCCTGCCCATGGCTGCTCACTCTCCGTGTTTGTAGGGTTACTTTTCCGTGGTTTCAGTGAACGCGTCTATTGCCGTTAGCCCGCTGGCTCGCTAAGCTGGTTGTAGCTTAAACGCGGTAGCCTAGCTCGCTAACTTCGGCTGCTCGGCTCATCTGTCGCGACTGCGTCTGTTTTCAGAGTCGCCTCACAGCAGAGGAGCGTTAGAATGCGCTGTGTTTGAATACGGCGTGATAATTAGGCACGTTTGGCTTTATATTCTGATGAGTTACACAAGCCGTTCTGAACAAGCCTGAAGCCTCTTTGGGCAACTTTGTGACACGACAACTTGTGATTATTCAGTCACCTGACTGGTGTTTCTCAAGTCTGTGTTAATGTTCGGGTTCATGTTGGTTCTGTGTGGGAAAAATAATCTGGAAAAAATAATTATAATAATACTTATTATTGTTATTGTTCTTATTATTATTGTTATTATTATTATTGATATTGAATAAGTGCCCTGTGTCTGTGAGCGTTTAGCTTCCTCATACTGTGGTCAGGCTGACAGTGCCATGATCCTCAGTGTCCAGTGTTTCTGATCACAGCTGTTTTTCCTTTTGCTGCAGCTGTTAAACCCCAGTAAGATCTGCACGCTGTAGCCGAGTGTTCTCTCCTGAGATTGTGCACAGCAGACTCTGTCACAGACGGGGGAAATGTCCAGCACAGCCATGAAGAAAAAGGTATTTTCTGTGTCCTGTCTTGTTCGAAAGTGACCGTTTCCTTACACAGTTCTTCTGTAATCGCTGCTGTCCAGTTCCATTAGAGAGTCCCATCTCAGGTGGTCAGATATAAAACCTTCTATCACTTTTACATGCGATTAGTCCACAACTGTCTGTAAACATCTGAGCATATATACCAGTTAAAAACAATTACAAATGATAAAACATAAGTCTGTGAGTGCAAAACTTGTTTGGAGAAGAGTTGAGTTAATGTAGCTCTGTATATATACTATATTTATAGTAAGTAATATTAGTAATTACAGAAAAGCTGAAGATGAAAAGGGCCTAGAATCCTCAGATCTTAACGAAGGCTGACACATTTCCCTGAGGAGACTGGCTCACAGCTTTCACATCACAGCTGAGCTGTTTCTCTTAGATCAGGCTATTCAACAAAAAATGAATGTGTAATCATTAATGATTAGTCCAGCCAACTAATAAATCAAAGATATTTTGTTAAACTGTTACTAGTTTAACTGTTACTAAAACACTTTTATAATGTAACAAGCATTTTAAAATTGTGTGGCGACTGGCTCTGTGTGTGTGTGTGTGTGTGTGTGTGTGTGTATATACATATAGATTATAGATAAAATAAAGACAGACAAACATTTCCACCTTTTCATAACATTAAATAAATAAATTAATAATCCAGTTTAATTATAATAAAAATCAATAAAGGCTACTCTCAATGGACGTTTTATGCTGTTGTGCTGTAAGTGAGTGGATAAGCACTGAGGTGGAACTTTCATATTGAGCTTTGGGTTTGTTTGTTCTCAGATCTGGAATTTGTGGGTAGATTAATTTAAAGTGATTTGTTTTGTTTACTGACTGTAAATGTTTTCGCTATTGACGAGCACCACATGCTCAAAACAGGTGATACACATTGTTTTTGAACTTATAAGGGAGACAAAAATTTAGATTTCTGTTCGTTGTTGGACACTGTTTTCGTCATCAACTTTCTTCTTTTAAAAAGCCGTGTTCACTACTTGGAACAGAAATAGGAAATAAAATAAAAGTCAATGAAAATGGTGAAAATATTCCCTTTCTTATCTTATTTCTAGCCCTGCAGTTCGTCTTTGTTCTGCCTTTGGCTGAGTCGTTTATAAACGTATCAGATAAACCACAACACCGGACTCCTACACTGGTTCATCTCCAGGTGTTGCTGAAATCTGACTGGCATCTTGTTTGTTTATGAACAGAGCATGTTTGCATGACCTTGTATGTCTTTTAGCAGCAGGTAAAAAATGTAGACCCACTAATTAGAAAAGAGGTCCACATACTTTTGGCCATGTAGTTTATTTA